CTGAAGTCCCAGAAGGAAGAGTACAGTACACTTGGACAGAGCTCCAGAAATAAACAGATCAGCTGCAACATGCCAAGATTTAAACCGAGAAAAATTCATGCTAGCTGTGTTTTAATGGTGTTTCATTGACTTTCCAGTCGTCCTGCCCTTCACATCTTCAGCACCATTTAATTCAGGAGGGAGGTGGAGCCTATCCCAGCAGTCATCAGGTGACTATTTACACTCAAACCCTTACCTATGGTCCATTTACCAGGTGTCCAATCAACCTAATCCTACACTGGAGTAATGCTCTATGAGAGGAAGCCAGAATACCCAAAAATCCCATGCAGACTTCATACAGAAAGGTTATCAGTTACCACCAGGGGTCACACTGGTGACCCCTTGAGGGGAAAAAAACATTTTCCACTTCCCAGGCAATTCATCATTTTTAGGGCCACTCAAATCAAAGTGTGCAAACACGCACTGCATTAAATCAAAGCAACAATTAATAGAAAACCAATTTGCATTTCATTTTGCATTTACTGTAATCACAGAAGGACAAGGTAAAAAAACAACAACAAAGAGATAGTTATAACTGCTGTGTCATTAGAACACATAGCAAAGGTAAGCAAAAAAACAGCAACAAAGTTAGTCAGTAATAGACATTAAAAACTTAAAAACTTTAAGAAATGCACTGACTTATTAAAATGAGTACTGAGAATAAACAGACTCATTAATGAAATGACTGAACTAACTCTAATGGAGAGTTTGGTGTTGGTGATGATGAATGGATGAACGGATTAGAACAATAATTTGGTGAATGAGATCAATAACAGGCTGAGTGGATTTAGGAAATCCATTCACATACAAACTCTACTGTTCTGTTGGGGTCTACTGTTCCATTGTGTCACATTTTATGAGCCACTACAGTAACATTAAGACAAAACATTAATTAAAGACAATGACTAAGAACACAGCAGCTGTAATCTCAGCTGGAGACATTCTCATTATTTGCCCTCCATTTAGCGCGATTCTCACACTATTTTTTTTCAAGCTTTCTCTTCATAATCTTCTTCAATAAAACTTTCCTGAGGCCATAGCCTATTTCTGTCTCCATTGTGAATACTTTGTGAGCGCTGTTTGCTGCTACGTAAACAGCGCAGTGGTCCAACTCCAGTGGCGGCCAACTTTCCAACCTGATATAACGCAGCTATACGAAACTGCACTGGCAGCCGTCCAACCAACCGTAACAGGGCCTGTAGCATTTGAATACAATCCTTTATGACAACATTCCTGACAGTCTGCCTGGAGAGGCAATTTCCCCAAAAAAGTAGGAGCTTTATTGGCTATTTAAAATAATGTAATGTGTGTGTGATTGTGTTGTGTGTCTGTTTCTGCAACTTGTACACACAAACACAACCTCCCAGCCAGCACGTGCATGCTGTATATATTGTGATGTGATTAGTACGCAGGTTAGCACAAATCTCGACTCTGCGCGTGCATGCATGAATGTGTGTGTGTGTGTGAGTGGAGATGGCGACCAGCAGACCTCAAGGCACCAGGTGTCACAGAGTGCAACAGCTGAGAAAGAGAGCGTCAGACAGCTGCTTCACGTGGTGTGTGTGTGTGTGTGTGTGTGTGTCAGTCGGAGGTGGTCCAGCTCTAATTGCGGTGACATCTTTGCCAACAGTGATCATCTGCTGTTAAACCTATCTCTCAAAACTGGAAGAGTGCACTCTGACCTCTCAACACTCGAGTCAAACTGCAGCGTTTAAGACACGTTGAACCAAGTCACAACATGTGGGTTGGTGTCAACAGTCTTCATTAGGTTTGTACTTGTGAAAAAGTATACATTATGTCATCTCACACACTCTTACATATACTTTTTGGGACATTTTTGTCTGGTGGGGCGGCATGGGAATTGTGCTGTGGCTCGAAACGTTTGGAAAAAACTGCTTCATAAGAATTTACTGTATTTGTCTTTTGACAGACTGACTGTTAATCATTACTAATTTATTTTAGCACAGATACTTTCTATTCTACTATTCAAAGGTTTAGAAGAAGTCATTTTAGGAGCGCCCTCTGAAGTTGTAATTCCTTTGCCTCCGGTCATTACAGTTCACAGGACGTCCAGTGAAAAACAAAGATTTGGCTGCATGTTGTATCGACTACAGCATAATTGTAGTTGCACTATTGTTACTGATATTTAAAAAGTGGACATGGAGATTTGTATTTATCAGTGGAGTCCCAGGAAAGACCTGGAAGTGAGAGCTTGTTGTTGAAGCAACTCAAAATGAATGAAAGTCTGAGGAAAGTTTACTTATTTAACATCCTAATTTCTAGCTCTGGGACATCTTTAGCAACGCATGGTATTAATCTGGTCAAACAAATAATGTTTAGAGAGAAACATATGGCAAAGCATGACAGGAAATGAGTTATAAAAGAAAATAACAGCTGAAACAGACAAATAAGAACAAGTTAAAGTCATAGCGTTGGTGATTTACACCAACATTGTTGACTCAAGGTCCAAAACCTCCAACCATCATGACCACCACACATTTTATTTTACTTTAAATGCAATTATAAATCAGTGAATTGAAAGACCTTTAAATCATGGAAGAATCTGCAATTTATATGACAATATTAACTTTTCTCTTTTTTTACTCATCAGCATAACTAACTATTTTGATTATACTGTATAAAGCAGATGCAGAGTGCTGCTGGAGGTCAACAATATTGTATACATGTTAAGAAAAAAAGTGGGTGTGTAATCAACAAGGTTTGTGCAATGTGTCTTTACTCAACTACATAAAAAATATTAAAGCAGTCAAATCCCAACAACATTTTAGACGTATTAAAGAAGTGCATGAGAACAACATCTACATGCTGCTATTCATTATTAGTTCATCACCAGTTAAAGCTGGTTGAAAACGTGTTTATGTTTAGGATGCACAACCAGGCCTATCCTCATTTGTTATGATGATGCCATCCTTCCCGACAGGCCCTATACAAAGAGTGCAACCTACTGGCCATACAGTATAAGCATCAATGGCCTATTGGCTGCATCTGTTTGTGGGATCTGAAAGAGACCAGGATTTAATGTGAGGCGTGATCTCTCACAATAGCGTGCGGCATAGAAAGCATTGTGGATAACAATGATAAAAGACACACAGCACTGCACACATCAGGAGGTTGGTGATGGATACAGTCGAGCTGAAACCACCCACTCCTACTACAGAAGCCTGTTTGGTAATGCTGAAAAACGGGGTCACATCCTGGTAATTAAATATGAGTAAGTGTTACTGGTCCTGCTGTCACCAAAGGCTGGGATATGTCAAAGAAAAATCATTTATGTGACGAATATCTTATGAGCTGTGCGCATCTTTCCACCAAGAGTCGTGCAGGATCCTAGCACTGCGTTTGATGTTATTTTGTCAACAATGTGGCACAAGATCAACACAAGCAGCAGCAGCAGCACAGGCTGCGACAGAGGCACCGATCCACATCCAGACTCGCCCCTGTGATCCACACTCACCGGATTTGAAAAACGCCGCTATGTCTGCCGCGTCCTTCGCAGCTTCATCCAGTCCCTCAGCTGCGCTCATGGCTGCGCCCTCCTCTGTGGAATCAGCGGCGAACAGATGGATAAATCCTCACAAGGGTTTAGTGGTTTTCTACAGACACTGGTGAGCAGCCGAAGCAAATCCGGACGCCTTTTCATTGAAGCAGATCCGGTCGTGCGATCTGGACTCCCTTCATTAAGCCACAGACCTCCTCCTCCATTTTGGCCGAGCAGGGAGAATCCTAGCGACCGATCGGCGGCGCTCCCGAGTTGGGACGTGAGGAGGTAAAAGAGGAGGAGATAGAAGGGGGTGTAGTGAGAAGGGGCGGGGGTTAAAAAAAAGGAGGAGAGGAGGGCTATTCCGTTTGGGGTGGGATATCCTGGGATTCCGTTTCGGAGGGGTTTTGGTGCATTGTGCGCCACAGCGCACCAGTAAAAACCAGTCCCCCACCACAACCTCTGCTCACACCTCCTGCTGTACCTCCGAAACTGCTGCACTCATTGCTGCAATGCTGACATGGTTCTGTGCGGGGATCAAAATCTGGGACTAAATGACTTTTCGGGGGATTGGATGAAAGATGGCACAAAGACGCACATCTGTGTTCCAGCCCCCATGCGTATGACCATGACGTCATTGTAAATAACTGTAATCCTCCAAACCCGAACCATTCTGCTGTTACATTGTTTCCACCACAACATTCCCCGTAGCTTCACTGCCAGTGGTCCTAAATGGCGTGACAATTAAATGGTTAATAACGCGTTTGTTTTTTTCTTTTTCATAAAATATCGATATTCCAATTCTTATCATAATCTTCATCTCCCTGTAGTGAAGATTATGCATCACTATGAGGTCATCTGGTCCACAAATCTAACCCACATCTGCGCCAGAGCATTGACCTGCAACAATCCGCTGCTGCCATCTATGGGCCACTTCCAAACCTTTATCTTTGCTAATAATAGCAATCGTCATCATCAGCGTAACGTGACTACTATTATTACTACTAATAACGGAAATGAAATAAAAATGTTTAAATTATATTTTTTTCAGAAACTCTTATTGTTCTTTGAAAAAAGTGGTTGTTTCTTGAGCAAGATGTGATAGAAGTGATTTTTTTTATCTCTAATTTATTATTATTATTATTATTATTATTATTCCTCTAAAATATTTGTGTAACGGGACAGACGTAGGTCTGATTCATCACACAGACAGAAAAGGACACATTGAATAAATGTTGCAAACAGTACAACAGTGACACGTGTGGTATTGATAGACTGTTACACCTCGTGCACTGATTCTTTTTAGAAAAAACAATCTAAATTTATTCTGAAGACCGTCACATTACATCCATCATTAGTGCCAGGTGCAGGGCACACATTCAGTGTTTGCTACAAGAATGCTAACGGATATATTTCATTTGTTTCTAATTTGTGCAGAAAAATACATTTTGTTTTTACAGAATTTTGCATAATTCTTTTATTGCACTCCTGGATATTAACAGCTCTTCATCTGACACAAGCATCTACATACACATAAACTAGACACTGACTAATATTTACAAAAAACAGCAAAATACTGTCTGGAATGTAAGCGTTATCTTTTTCCAACAGGAATATTGGTCAAATCTGGGGTGACTAATTACAGATTGTAAAAGTCAGGATACTTTACATAAAACTAAATCCTAAAAAGATTAACATCTTCTTATATCTTTAAAGAATTAGGTTTCCCACTGTGCTGCCTATATGGAGCCTATATCCATTGTGGCTTACGGTTCACATGGATAAAATATTTTTTTAGTGTTTTTGGGCCACCATGTGGAACGACTGCTGACATGGCACAGCTTTTAGACTTATTTCATATATTTTATAATTTACTGCTGCAAGACGTTTATCCATTGTTTTTTAATTGATTGTAACATCCAATAGAAAACACATTAAAAACAAACATATTACAAAAACAACCGCATTATATTTTGTCCAAAGTCACATTTAACCTTCCAAATGTGCTTGTCAAAACTCTGGGCATATGTTTAACCTGATGAATTTCCATCAAGAAAACTTGTGTCTGGACAGTAACTCATTTGTGGTCCTGAAGAGAAAAACTACAATTGGCATAGAACTGATGAAAGCTTAAGCAAAGGGTTAGCACTTATAGCAAAAGAGGTTAGACACAAAATAGCAACAAAACAAAAATTCAGCTATTAACTCTATATTAAAAAGTTAGCCAAAAACAGCTAAACATTAGCCATAAATAGCATAGATATACCTTAGAGATACACAAGAAAAGGAGCACAAATGTAGACATAATTAGATTGTATGCATGCCAAAAATTAGTGCAGAAAGAACTGAAAGATAGACAAAAAGAGAGATAGTGTAAGCTGTGGGAGAAAAATATAAAAATGACATCAAATTCATCTAAAATTAGGCTAAAAACACCATGTTTTTACACAGAAATATCGCCAAAGGGTTTGTTCCTTATCTCTTTTTTTGCATTTTTTTTCAATAAAACATGATCGTTGCCTTTTTGTGCTTTAATTAGGCATTTAAACACTCCAACAGCAAGACAACTGCTACTAAATTTGAGCTCTTTAGTGCATAAATTAACTGCAGAAAATGGTGCACTGTCCAAACACTAATGGTCCAGGCTGCTCTACTCTGAAATAGACATCTGTATACAGGATATTTCAATTGGGGGGTAGGGGGAACAGCAGAGAGAGCCACTGTCATTTTCAGGTGAATCCAAAACATAATACATGTTAACACTGCAGCTTCCCAAACCATGTTGTACCACTTCACATTAACATCTGCAGGATTTGGACATATTTTCATTTTGGTGTAGAAAAGTACAAGCGTGGGTGCAGTAACCTCATGTCCTGGCCATTTTCTGAATCCCTGGTGAGTTCTGATAGTTCTATAAAAGTGAGACAGATGTGAACAGAAGTGTATTAAACATCTGTGATATTTATCCCACACAGGACTTACAAATTTGTTAATTTGGCCCTGGCAGATGCTAGGACTACACTCTAGATACAGCTCATAAACCTGAAAGTGTTGTCTCTACCTTTCATTTATATTTTTACAAAATGCATATAAATGAGTCTGTGTGTATGGAGAGGAAAATATCAATTTCCCAACAGCAGGAAATGAGGGGTTAAAACATGCTGCATCACTATCTTCTGTATTTGTATATAACACAATAGACAGGACAGTGTCCAGTGTCTCACCCTCATGGCTGTAGATATCCAAGGTAGAAAGCGGGACACTCTGGTATAGACTCCAGGCTTCTTTGGCATGGCACAGCCCGTTCCCCAGCTGACAACTCCCAACAGACGATATCTGCTGGTCTTCGAAAAACTGTCTTCTCCAACAAAAGGTCCACCACTGTCTCCCTGATACAATACATAGTAGCACTGTTAATAAATTAATGGATACAGAAATGACATACTGTGCCAAAAGTACCACACTTCAGCATACAAAGAACTCCAAATAAAGAAAATGACAGCCCTGATTTGTAACCACTAAATCCTACAGTAGGTCATCCATCAAGCACTCACTCACCTGGCAGGCATCAATGCCTCCTTTCTCATAACCAGCACAGAACATGCTGGTGGTGATCTGATTGTCGTAGTAATCAGGAGCATTGCAGACAGTGTCACTGATGATTGGGACATGTGCTTCCTGCAGAACATTTGCCAAGTGACCTGCAAACAATAATAGGTCAAAATAGATCCATAAGGCACCCCTACAGCAACAGGTAATTAAAATGGGTCAGACGATGGGCAGTATTGAGGTTGAGTATGTTAAGAAATCTAAATGAGGTATTTGCATTAAAGGCAAAGTCTAAGATAGAAGCTTCAATTATTATGGATCAGACCCAGTATATAGATAGATTAGATAGATTAGAACTTTATTAATGCCTCAGGAATTCCTTTTGGGAAATTAAGGAGCAGTGGCCTTTTTCATACAACTAAACCTTACAGCCTTGGAGGATTAATTAAAAGAAAAAAATATTGTACAAGAACTTAATGAAAATACTGTGTGGAAGTACAGAATCCAAAGATATTTATCAGATCAGATAAGTTTATTTAATATAATTCACTATTCCCCAGGAGGTAATTGATTTTTTTTTTATTTAAATTAAAACAAGGCTGTGATCAATGACTTACCATAGTATTCAACATTTCCCCAGCCTGTTACTGTTCCCATTTGTCCGTCTATCACTCTCTGACCATATGCTGGAAGGCAGACAGGCTGGATGTATTCTGTGTGTTTAAATACAACCAAATATTAAACTTGAATGGATATAAAGAGAGGGAATGATACCTTAGTGAAAAGTACAACTTACACACATTTACTGTGATTTGATAGACAGAAAATTGTGTGTCACTATAATAAACTGAGGCCTTTTCACACTTGTATGTAATTCTGTATGTCAAACACTAGGTGTCAGGAAGGATCTGGTGAAACGCTTCCTGTACAATGAACAGCTTTTCCTGTTTTATATTACATCTTTGGTACTTATGGCACAGTGAACTTAAAAAAAACATAAAATTAATAATAAGACTGTTATGAATTGTATTGTTTTGTCTATAGTTTAATTTTTGGGTTTGTTTATTTGAAGTAGATTTTCTTGTCTTGCTGGCCATTAAAAGAACTGAGGAGACTAACCATGTTAAAAACTTTTTATCTTTGTGTGTTTGTGAGTCTCTCTCTCTCTTTCTCTCACCCAAATTCTGATAATGTTTATAATGTGTGTGTGTGTGCCTTGGTGAATCCTTCCATTAAAGGTGAGTGGCTGTGTCAGGGCCAGAACAGCAATATCTCTGCTGTTATCATCAATGTCTGCATTTACAAAAGGCAGGTAGCTGCTGTGGTAAACTATGGTCTTCACTTCCGCCACGTTGGCATTTACCGGTTTATTATAGATGGAGCCGAGCAGCACACGCCAGCGATTCACAATGCGGAATCGGCTAAGAGAGAGTTAGACAGATGAAGGTTCTTCACTAAAGACTCTAAAAAGACCTAAGGTGTTCCTATATATTAAACTGTAAAAAACAAAATACACAACTTACTCGCGAAAGCAGTGAGCTGCAGAAACAATCCAGCGGTCTGAGATGATGGAACCTCCACACTGATGGACCCCATCATACTGTAAACTGACCTGCCAAGGCCAGCTGCCCTGTCGTGCATCCACACCACCAACAATGCGGTCTGCAGCAAAACTGCGTCTGCCACAGTCTAAGAGGGATAAAGAGCAGAAAGGAAAGCAGTTGGTTAGAGTGCAAGGTAAAAGGGAGTTTTATAAACAGAAATGTGGAACAGAATAAAAGATATTCAGATCAAATGTAGGATTTTGAAGCAAATGATGTTGCTTTATGAACTGGTGAATTAAAGGACGCTAAAGGCAAATAAGGGTTTGTGTGTTAGTGTGTGTTCCAGGGAACAAAGCAGATCTTACCTTGACACACCAAGGTCAGAACCTCTCTGCTCTCACAGTCACTGAAAATTAGACATAATAGAACAATAGAAAAATCAAAACATAATATTTTCTTTTTTGAGAAACAGGAACAGACATCAGCAATTCAACTCTTTCTTACCACGGGTACATTGAGTCTTTGATTTTTTTGCCATAGCTGAGCTCTTCCTGTCGGACACAGAAGAACTCTCCTCCATCTCCACCTCCCTCTGGTACCGATGTGACCGAGTAATTTACCAAACTGAAACAACAGAAACACACGTATTTATTAACCTTAACTATTTTTTTTAACCCGATCTGAACCAGAGACACATATGACCTGAAAAAAGGAAGCACATGATACTGTACATATAGTTTTCTTGAGGAAGTAAATCCACAGTCATTTATTAGGGAAAATGTTTTTCACCTGACAAAGCCCACTTCTTCACAGCTGATGCTAGCCAGCAGTTGATTGGCTGAGGAGGAACAGACCTGACGCCACCTTTTCTGAGCAGGGTCAAAGACTCTGAGATGTTGGTCAGCAAAGTTTACCTGAACTGCACACAGTAAAATGATCTTTATGAGTATTTTTTTCTTAATTTCCTCATTGTGGGACAAATAAAGAACTTCTTCTGAATACTCACCATCATAGAGTTCTGTGTCTTCTTCCATTGTACAATATGTGACTGCAGTAAAGTCATATACAGAACAGTTACTACATCAACTGTGACAGCAAAAACCAAAAGAACACTTTACATTATTAGTTTATATATATAGTTTTTTAGAAATAATTTGCTAATATTAATCACGTATTACTTGGGATGGTTTGATACCACAGTATGTGATACCTCATGTCAAATACCAATGAGCTTTGTATCTTTAAGATAGATACAATGGGGGAATAAAGAATTTGATACTATATTTAATCTTTAAATTACATTAACAAAATATAAATATTAAAACAAACAGGTTATAAATAATAAATGCATATGAGACATATGTATGACGATGTGGTCTAACCTACGGCCCAAACTGCTGCTCCAACGGCTCCCATCATCATCAGTGTCACACACACACCCATCACCCGGCAAGGAGTAAACACACAGGTCAGAGAGATTCCATTACTCCCTGGAAGTACACACACATACGCACAATTATAATTTTACATACGTTAGACACGTTTTCATGCTGAGTAAAAAATGGCATTTTTTATTATGATTTTTTTTGTTGTTGTTGTTGAAGATAAAGTATAGTCTGTCACTATTTCACTGGATTCCCTTCTTGGACTAAACCATCCCATAACGAACAGCTCAGCGTTCTAGTTTGAAGGGGCACGCTGCATATTTCCTGGCAGAGTCTGAAAAGTACAAATGACACCGACCAGATCAATAGTCTAAAGTTTAGAATTTGTCCAGCTGGCAAGAACAAACTCTTCAACTGGAATATCATGCCATGTCTGTCTGTGTCTACACAAATGGGTTGTTTTCAGTGTGTCTGCTTTTATCTATTAGTCTGTCAGTTTAAACCACAGGCTTCCTCACAAATTTGTATTGACATTAAAGGAAAAAAACATGTTCATGAACATTTACGAACCCACAAGGTTATTAAGGTTAATTCAACCTCTGCTGGTGTGAAGCAGTGCTGACATTTATGTGATAGTTCAAAGGCTGATAAGGAGTATCCATGAATTTTGACACCAAACAGCGTAGGACGTTAACCTTTATGACCAGGACATTTTGGTTTATTAACAAATGTATTTTTTTATTACTTTTTGGTGTTTACTTTGTCTGTTTTGTTTTTGTATTTTTAAATAAAAGGATCAAATCCTCCAGCTGCAAGATGGCACTGAGGTGCACTGCAGTGGTGTGCTGTGTCACAATGAAAAGTATTTAATTTCATTCATACTTAAGCAATGTTTGACCAACTTTTTATTTTTATTTATTAAAGTAATTCTATGCCATTTTCTAGAAATATTTAGCTACCAATGAGCAACGTTTGATAATTTGCTTAGTGTCCTATCAGTTTTTCCTTGAGTACTCACTAAACGTTTTTTTTTTCCTCTCTAGGAATCCATACCTTTGCTTAATTCTTTGTTTCTTACATTAGCTCCTCCTCTTGTCCTTCCTCTCATACCTCTGTAAGGATTCCTCTCCATACTTGTGGTCAGCATCACAATGGTGCTACTGTTCCTGTTCCTTGGATCGTACAACTGTGCTTTACAATGGGGAAATACTGCACAATAACATGGAGACCAATGATTTTAGCCACGTAAAAACACTCTTCTAATACAAATATATATTAACATGACTCTAACAATTTCACCATTGTATGCAAAGAATAATTACTTTAGTCTCGCATACCTGTCTCTAAAAGCAGAACTTTTTAAGATATGGATTACAATATGGTCTGTTGTTTAACTGTTTGAGGAAGCGGCGGAGCAACCCCTCCAGGTTTAAGCAGGTTCTAATTTAAGTTGGTAGGTTCTTTGTTAAATGTCTGTCGATTCCCAGTTCTGTTCCTTCTTCCCATCACACAGCCTTTTTCCTGACCGCACAGAAGGACAGAACAAGAACACTATTGTGTTCACTTATACCTAAGACTTCCTCATCTGTGGGCCTGGAATAGAATGTTGAACATTCATTTAGATGTTGTATTTGACTAATAAGAAAACGGTAAGCAGGGTAGCTAGACCGAAACAGACTAAATAATGGGGTTTAGCTGCAAATAAATGTTTAGAAAAGTCAAACAATAGCTGTAATAGTTCTTTGTAACTGCACCTATCAATAAATGTAGTCAATGCATTACTATGGTTAATACATTTATTTCATGTTTACATTCACATGTAAGTCTACCCTGTGATTTAGTCATTCACATTTTCATTAAAAAACAAAAACATTGGTTACTAAGGATTGATAATCACAAATCCTTTAAACAACATGATTAAAATCCACTACTAAAGATGCATCATTTTGTTGTATCTGAATTATGAGTTTTTGGACATACCAAGCAACATTTCTCACATTATGTACTGTAAACACCAAGATAAATATTATGAACAGTTGGGGCTTCCTCTCAGTGGGACTTTGATGGTTGTTACTACCATTTGTTGCCACTGTAACAAACAAAGTGCCAGCCATAACAGTGAATCATCCCAGACTGTTGTGACCCATCAACGAGGACATACATCGCATAACATGCATTTATATTTGCTCCACGTCTATCCTCAGTCATGAGTCATGTGACCAGAGCTTCAGTAAGTGAGCTGTGGGCAGTTGTGAGGGAAACCCTGAGCTTCAACAACTTTGTTGCTAAAATAAGTCAGCTCTGAACCACATTAGAAACGTGGCTGACCACACCCTTCCCGCACTACAAGAAAACAAGAACTTGTACGGACACCGCATTTTGGAATCAAAGTCAGAATGACACATTATGTGGAGACCTCAGCAGGAGGTAAGTCAGTGTCGGTTAAATGTTGACACTGTATTTCCTTTCTTTTTAAAAGGCTTATAAATGCATTTATTTTACTTATATTCTTTATTCAGAACTACTGGAGTTATTGAACTAAAACTAGGTTTTAAAGTTGATATTTTTTATTGTTTTTGCACAATTGTCACAATGTCGTATTATATTTGCATAATATATATTGGTAGGGAAATGCCTAGACGGTGTCCATGAATGATTTTCTAGGCCTGCAAAGTGGCATAGTGGCCACAGCTCTTATCTTACAGCAGATACAGGAGATCAAGGGTTCAAGGAATTTTTGTACTTTGTAGGTTTCATGTTCTTCCTGTGTTTAAAGGGTTTTCTCCAGTTTGACTGTGAGTAATCTAGTAAACTGTCTAAGATGTTCCCCACCCTTAACTGATGACTGCTAGGATCCAACTTCTCTTTGACCCTAAAGAGTAAAAGAGGGATGGATGATGAAGGATTGATTGGTGTGACTTTTAATTTGGTTTGTGTAGTCAAAAGATGTTATTGAAATGTGGGTAAACTTTCACTTGGAATGCCAATAGCGTGACATAAACATGATGAAGGGATCAAATCGATCCAGCCAATCAGGTTGTATTCTGTGCAGTGAAAAATCATTGTCTACATAGGAATATTCAAGAGACACTTATTCAGGTATATTACTTTTAATAATTAGTTTTAGAGGAAGCAGCATCCTCTCAACTAAGTGTCCTAAACGGGACATGGTTCAGAGACACATTTAAGTACTCTCTTGCATGACCAGGTGGTCTGGCCTGATCAGAGCTGTCTGCACTAATCCCGGTTGGCCTTCAATACAAAAAGGTTTGGTGTATCCTAATAAAAGTTAAAAGAAGCAGAACTGACTCACTTATCTTGTACTGCAGTTGTGCTGTAGTAAAAACAAACACATTCCTAATGTGTGGTAAATATTAGCATGATCAGCAGCATGCCGTTTCTTTGAGACTCTGGCTGAGTGTTAATGTTTCCATTTCCGTGCGGTTCGCACATGGTGTATAAACATGTTGAAACATCTTAGGGCTAAATGATCCTGAAAATAATGTGGCCCCACAGTATGAGCACAGACGTACACAAAACAAGGCCTGCCATGTGTGCCACTCCTCAACTAGACTTTGTGATCTGAGATAATTACACACTTAAGTCTGATCACTGGGTCTGGGTGGATTCGTGTTTGCTCTCAGTCAGGCACCAGAATGTTACAACCTCAGTGTTGGTTCACACACAGATACTAAGTTACAGCACGACAAGAGTACAGTGAATGAGACATCTTCCTTTCGACGAAGACTACAGATGATTCCTGGTTTTACCGTGGAAAACTACTGCTCATAGAGGACCGGCACAAAATCTGATTCAGAAAAGTAAGGTGGGTACAAACATACATCTCACTCTTCAAATGTTTAGGTTTTTTACCTCGATAAGAGTTTATTTCGTATTTGAGCTATTGTTGTTTGACTTAGTAGATTATGTCAGCCTTTGTTGAAACGTGTTTGTGAACCTCCTGCACTAGTCGACAAGTTCATCTGTCAACAATTTAAAACACAGTGTTTAAATGAAATGAGAGAAAAACAAAAGAATGTGTTAGTTGATTAATGTTTCAAAATATTTAACATTTTTATTTTTTATTTTTTCATCTTATCTATCTATTTGTGCAATCAGATCTCTGTTTCTTAATAACATGTTCAGAAAGTCTTTTTCCAAGATTTATCTTTTAATCAGTAGAAGATGAATGGATGTTATACATAGTTTATAAAGTCCTGTAAAATCATCACGAGTCCTTAAGCTGCAAGTTTCCTTTTTTAACATTCTTTGTTTTTTTCATCTTATCTATCTATTTGTGCAGTTTTTGTGTCAATTAATTTGTTAAAACATGACCATGGATCAATTTTATACAAGCCATAGATCTAAATGTAAACAGAGCATAACAATACACACACACACTCACACATATATACCTAACTAATATCACATCATTTGAAATAAACTCATTACTCCACGTGTATAGAAGACAACCAACAGGAGTGGAGTAGAATATTAAGAGAGGGAGTACATTGGAACTGTGGACTAGAATCACATAGAGAACAGTTGAATGAGTTTCAAGTGATCTACTACTTTAAAATAAAGCTGTGTCAATGGCCCTGGTACCAGACAACAACATGTGCTACTGCTGAAGCTGTTCATTTTGGGGATCAAAAACACTGTGGATGATGTAAGTGTCTGTGTTATGAGCTAAAGGGCAAACAACAAAACTAAATCAAGTGAAAATGAGAGAGACAACTGTTTAGCTCTGAGCAAATTAGTTAATGTTTAACAATGAAGTGGACTAATGTCTGGTCTCAAATACCGAGCTCAGCGTGAGCCGTGGCCTGACCAACAGTGTTTATATGAGTGTGTGTGTGTGCGTGTTTGAATATATGTATCTAAAAATATGTACTTACCCATCTTTTTCCCTGTTACAACCTTCTCCACATACATCTCTTCAGAGAGGAAAGCAAAAGGCAACAGAGGTGAAGATGTCTCCTTTCCTACTTTACTTCCTTTCCTCCCTCCTTCCTTCCTTTTTTCTGCTTCCTAGTTTCAAGAAAAGATCAGACAAAGCGCTATAACAATGTTAACATAATAATATAATATAGTTGAATGTAACAGAGTAAAACTATTTAGGTTCAAACACAACGTACTGGAGTGGGAAATTGTTGTTAGGACATACAACTGTCTATTGGCAACTAACAATAATGATTTTAAAAAGTTTTCTTTTTCATAGTCAAAAGTTAGTAAAGTAATACAGTAGCTAAAAATATCGAAATTATTGTTCAAAAGGAGCTTAGGATAAGGCTTAGCTTAGGAGAATTCCTAAAAACACAACATGAACAAGACTTAAAACTGAATTCCTTACAGCGTTTATCTTCTTCGATATTGTCTAATTTCCTTTTTAATAATAATAATAATTATCATGACTTTTTGCTTGGAAGTTCTTCGGGAAGTTGAAACTTTTTGAGTTCGATATCCATCAGTTACTGAACCCAGTGTTGTACGTAAGTTCACATGACGTATTCTGTTGCGTTAAATGTTTTATACCGGTTTTGTACCATTTTCTAAAACATGTCAGCAAATATTTAAATCAATATTTGTGTTAATCAAATTGTTGCCTCATTAAACCAGACTACAGACGGACTTACGGCAACACAGTGGGCATTACGTTATTAGAAGAAAAACGTACAAAGATGCGTTCCTTCCAAACAATCACTCACCTGTCTTTCTTTCTTTCTTTCCTTCGTCCTACAGCAGGTGCGACGACTTTTTACTTTCCTTTTCTTTTCAAATATTCAAACAACAAAGACCAACGTCTGAACAGTTATCGCGGATAAAAATCCAAATTCCAGTAAATTCCGAGTGCCTCCGTCTTTTCGCAGGTTACTGACCCCAAATACAGGGGAAAAAACGTGTCGAAAACCTTTTCAGCGACAGGAACCAACACTATGTTTCAACCAAAATCACCTGTGGCTGCGTTTTCTAGCAGACCACAGAGAAACATCTGGATGAACAGCAGCTGGATCACTGTCAGCCGACGTTTACCTACAGTGTGTAGATGGGTCCGGGTCTACGTGCGTCTGTGTGTGGTCATCTGTGCAGACAAGAGCGGCGCTGGTGACGTCACATTACGTTTCTGAGTGGACATGCCGTGTAGAAGAGCCCTCGGTGCTGTATCAACCTGAACAAAGCAAAAGTCGGGATGATCTCAAAAGTACTGACCATGTAAAATTTGGCTTTTAATACCTGGATTCACATGGTATGTCTAAATCTCAAGTTCCAGATCGTCTTGTGTAGAATATCCTAAAAGTTTTGGAAAATTTTGATTGCATGTTGACAATTACAAAAATAGAGAGCAAGAGAAAAAAGATGTCAAAATCTTGGCAAATAGGTACAGAGGTTACAGAGACGATAGAATAGTGATAGAAAGTAAACTGGGCATTCTAAAGAAAGAGCATTTTTCCACTGGACCTTTGGAAGAAAGGCCAACTACAAATTTAGTATGGTTCTCACAGGCCTTAGTGAGTCAGTGAAGCATATGCTACTCATTAAAAATGAAAATTAGAATCAGAATACTGTGTTAAGCCCATAGGGAAACTGTGTTACATTGCTGCAACAACAAAACACAGAATGGAATGGGTGTTTAAAATATGTAATGTGGAAATAAAATAAAATTAAGTAAACTATGAAGTAAAGGCCAAAGTGAAGTTGTTCAACAACCTTTGTTCCTCATCTGTTACAAAAAAAAGGAAGTAGTACAATGAGTCTTGTGTTTGTTTTGAAGAATAACAGCACTTGAAGAGCTGACGGCGGTCGTCCAGCTGTTGACAAGCAGACGGACAGATAGTGGCTGAAGAGAAAAAAGTTGAAGTCAACAACACAAAGGATAACAGTAGGATGTTGAAGAAGATGGAAGGACAAGTAGTCCAGGTCTACTGGCTTCTCTTCACACTGTCTCTAAGAGGTAAGGAGTAGTAGCATTCATCACTTGAGTGGTTACAAATTTCATTTTAAACTTTGTTGTTTATGTTGGAGGAATGAAAATCCTGATGAAATAAAGGCTAGTAGGTAAAGATATTATGGTGAACTTGATGTGGATGTGGACTCTAAGCCCTGGCAACTTGACCTGAACTGAACTTACTGTAACTTTTAGCATTCTGTTGTACCAGACATATTTGAGATTTCCTCCAAGAGTTTAAATGATGATACTACCTTCTACTGCTCAGGCATTCTTGCTGGTGATTGGTCAGTCCATCTCCCCGCCAGTCCCGTCTGTGCTGTGATTGGTTCTTCGGTTATCCTGCCCTGTTCCTATGACTACCCCCAAAGTTCAAATGGAACTGTGGGAGCAGGGCAAGTCTCAAGTCAGGTAATACAATAAAGAAGGCATTGTGCTGCTGTGCTGGTAATCTATCATCTGTGCCAGGTGGTTAATGAAGAATGACACAATGGTTTCTGGGTGTTTTTAACATATAAAGTCAAGTTATAAAACTTTCTCTTTAAGTCTTTGTTATTGTCTTTAGGGCAGAGGAGGAGATGAAGGACAACGATATAGAGTTTTATCTGAGATATGGTGCCTGGAGAACAGTCGCTGTATCACTCCAAGGTATTGTAAGAGAAGGCACAGACCAGTCAAGACTTATTCTCTCAGTTTTATAATATTACATGTCAGTTTCATAATGACTTGTCGTGTCTGCGTCAGATATGTGTTCCACAGTGCTGGCATTCTCCCAGATCCATCCTACCAGAACAGGGTGAAGTACCTGGGTCAAGCAGGAACAAAGAACTGCTCCCTGAAGATCTCTAATCTTAGGAAGTCAGACAGTGGAACCTACGTCTTTTACCTCATCACTAGTCATCCAACACAAAAGATGCCAGAGCAAAGAGGAATTCAGCTGCTGGTGGCAGGTGGGAAAGTTAGTTAGACTCACAATGAGTCATCAACAGTATATATTACAGGAGTACCTTTTTTATTTTACTTTTAATGATTTTACCATTTAGGTAACGCTTAGCAAAATAAGTATTATTATTATTAGCTACAGTATGTGTACGCTAAGATTTCACAATTTTTTATTATATATTTTTGTTCAATGTTTAGGTTTTCATCCCTTTGGATTTGCTCATTCTTTGGCTTCAAAAGTAGTAATTGTTTTGCAATTAGTTTAATTAGTAGTTCACTGCAAGGTACTTCTTGTTTACCTTCTAGTTATATCTCTTTTTTTACAATTTTACTTCTTAATTGAAAAGTTAATTTCTTATTTTATGGAACATAATCACAGAATTTTAAAGGCAATTTTGAACATTTAGTGGGCCTTTGGCTGATCCATTTAGTGACTAAATGATAATTATTTATTTTGTGTACATAAGGTTATATAGCTAGTCATCTTATCTGATACTTTGTTCCCTCCAGATTCTCCCAGGTCAGTGACCACAGCAGTGAACCCTTCCTCTGGCATCAGTGCAGGTGTGGTCGTACGGCTGTCCTGCTGCAGTCCCTCAGCCAGTCTGCAGACACAATTCAGATGGTTTAAAAGTGAAAGTGCCACACCAATGTTTGATGGACAGGTGTGGACAATCGGGGAAATCTCTTCTTGTCAGTCTGGAAGTTACTACTGTCAGACGCAAACTGGAGATCAAGTGCGCAACTCAACAACACAAGAGATTGATGTCCAATGTGAGTAATGTTTACTTCAAGTCCTTCTGTTTCAAGAACTCATAAATATGTCAAAGATTACACTTAACCTTTTTTCACAAAATTTTCTTCCAGAGTAAATCTACATGCAGATGACACTCATGTTTTTCTTGATTCTGTGTAGCTAACAAAAGTTTTGCAGCTTGTAGCATGGACCAATCTTTCAACATCTCAGACGTCTTTGTAGTTTAGAGAAAACCAAATGTAGGCACTGAAATTAGACTTTTTCTTTGTCTTATAGATATATTCAAGGAAAACTAATTGAGATGTAAATGGACTGGAAAATGTCTTGAAATGTTACGATGCCTTCTACCCAGTGTTTGCTGAGATTGGTGGCACTAACTCCTACATGTTTGGCCCAGTTACATGTGTCCTTGTACACTTGTACTTGTGTAATTGTGTTCATTTCATTCAAAACCAGTTGGCATAACAGAATTATCTGATGTCTTCTGCGCTCTGTCTAGATTCTCCGAGGAACACTGCAGTGTCCCCTGGTACAGAACTGTACAAAGAACCTCCTGTGACTCTGACCTGTAGCAGCGATGCTAACCCACCTGTGCTCACGTTTTCCTGGTACCATGGTGCAGCCTGTAGTCCAGCAGCAGACAAAAGTCTTTATCAGGCACGACAAGCCATGGCCACACACACAGGAAAAGGCTCCACCTTTAGAAGCGCCAACATCACTGTGGAGGAATACGGGAAGCACTGCTGTGTGGCTCGCAACAGTCATGGTTCACAGACTGTGACTGTATTACTGCAGGAAGACAGAGGTTTGTAAAAAAAAAAAGAGTCTGAGTTAATGAAAAAGGAAATTGTGCTTCAATATCCCTAATACTGCTCCTTAAATGCTGTGCAAACCAAGCTGAATTGAAAACTTTTTTTTTCAGCAATAATGGCATTGATGTCCAGAAACAGAGAAGTTGTTATTGGCGTGTCCCTCTCCATCCTAATAGTCATTATAGCTATTATAGCTTTTTGTATCATAAGGTAAGTTTCCAAAACACACACATGCACACACACAAAGCAAGCACGATTATAAAAGCTATGATTATCAACATTGTTACTTCTCTTATTCAAATTGAACTATAAAGAGAACTGCCACTAGTGGTCCACGTGCCACAGTTTGAAACCCTCTGGGTTAGACCATGTGATTAAGAAATCAGATTAACTGCTGACAGGACAGATTAAAAAAGAAGGTTTATGTAATGAAGTTTCACTTTGTTTTTCTTGTGTCATTTGTCATCTTAGGAGAAAGAAGTCCTCCAAAAACCAGACATATTCACTCACTGCTACAACTGCAACCTGAATCCTGGATATAAAATCCTATATTTACCAAAAATATGTTTGCTGGATCCTCTTGATTGGGTAAATAAATCCTCAGTTATTGTCACAATGAACAAGTGATTTTAACTTGTTTGACCTTCTGCCATTTAAAATAGGTCACACTTCACTTCATCTTTCAGCAAGAGATACTGGTACTTCCGTTTTTTAATGTACTACTTTAAATGTATTTATTATTCCAGATTTTAACTGCTATTTCACGCTTATGTTTATGGTGATTTATAGATGCTGTTGTAAACATATCGATGTAAAATTATGCTACAAAAACAGTAATAAAATAACAAATTATTTTCACATAAAGACTATCCTGATTAGGACCAAAAGCTAAACATAATTTTAAGCCTGCATTAATACATTTGTGATGAAATTAGTGTTGTGCAATTAATGTGTCCAAACAATACAAATCATGCTGTATGTTTGAGATAAAAGAAGCAAAAAAGTTGTTCTGTTGCTCCTACCTGTTGTTTTTGTCACAGTAACAGGTATGAATATTTGAGATATTGTTTTTGTCACAGTAACAGGTATGAATGTAAATATAGCATCTTTGTTCTCTAAGTATTAAAATTTAAAATCTTCTTAGCAATTTCTAGGCCCTTGTTTTATGTTTTTTTTTTTACAGATTAATCGCATTTAGAGTTTGTGTTTCTGGAAACGTCACTGATTTTTAAAGGATGATGGAAACTGTAATGATCCAACTAAATGCTGCCTACAGTTCAGACTGTGTTACATTCTGCGCCGTTGTTAATAAACTCCTCGGTGTGATAAGGAAGCAGAAGATACTGAGCAGAACCAGTGTGTGACGAGGAGAAGGATGAAAACCACGAGGCCAATGACTCTGTGACACCAGCGCCGTCCCACCACAGATGTACTGGTGGTCAGCTGTTGTCTCATTAGTCTATTTCAGTGCCATATTAAACAGGAAAAGCTGCTATTTTTGGATGGCTGATTTTGTAAACAATTACAATTTCCAAAATATTTAATGGAGACATAAACAAATAAAAAAGCTCTTATAGCGAAACATTGAGTTTTGTTGTGAAGACTTTTTTAGTCACAGCCACACAGTGGGGAAGTGGTCGGAGTTCTTGCCTCACAGCAGTGGTTATCAAACTTTGTCTGCAGCTTCTCACGCTTGTAAAATGTTATTTGTATAATGTAAAGTGTTATTTTCATTGAACAAAGTATATTAAACCAATAATCAGTGTCAGTTCCGCTGTGTCTAAAGAAAATATTAACACTGAACAGTATTTGTTTGCTGTGCCTTTTTACTTTGGGAACCACTGCCTTATGGCACGATGATTACCAGTTCCATTCCTGTTTTTAACTCATGGTCTTCCTGTGTGTGAGTTAAAACACAAAGCATATCAGTTTATTACAAAAAAACACACTTAGCTAATTAAAAAACAAAGAATGGTCAAAAGTACAGCCAACTGTACCTGACACTTCACAACCTCTGAAGTTTATAATGTGTTATATTAACGTAATTAAACAGTAATAAGATTAGGAAAATCATTTAATTCACTTAATTTGCAGATGTACTTTTGTTTTATAAACAGCAGGGGGCAGTATTCATCAGAAAACCTTATAGGTTATTTTGAAGGAAAAATCCCAAATCCCATACGTTACCTGATCATTTGGAGTACGGTAGTTAATGTTGAAGTTTCACATGAGAAGTTAAATCCACAGCCGAAAATGCATCAACGTGTTCTCTGTTGTAGACAGAAAAATGTTTTATTTAATTTTTAATTTAGCAAAAATATTACAAAAAACGAAACTAAAAAAAATAAAAAATGTTTACAAGGGAAATAGTTGAAAATATGAATTTAATAATATTAATATTGCATTAGTATAAATAACTCCCCTCCCCTTCCAATAAAAAAAAAAAGAATTTAAGACAGAAAAAGAGAAAGCAGAATAGGAAGAAAACAGGAAGAGTGTAAAGCTAATTATATTTATATGTTATAATGTGTGTAAATAAATATGAAGGGAAATTGAATACTACTGTGTACTATGAGTGTTGCCCCAGGAGTCTAAGCCTGTAAGCAGCTCCAATTTGAAAAAGATGTGCCAGCTCTCTTCGTCAAACAAAAACCAAACTCTTCTTTCTTGAACATAACAGCAATATCAATATGATTTTCTACCAAACTAAATGTAGGCTTCTGTACAGATGAAAACAGTTTAGTTTTTCCAAGCTCAGGTAATAGTCTTTGATTTTGTTATTTTGGTGCCAACAGCTATTTTAGGCTCTGGCTAAACCTGATCAACCTGTTTTGTGCACAGATCTGTTGTCTTGTGACTCAGGAAGATTCTTCCTCACATTCTTTAAGGGACCTTGTTGTTCATAACTTTCTTCCTGCTCTGTCTATAAGAATGTAGTGAGGTTAAAGCGTTGATATTGCTTGAACTGTATATGATTTCACTTGGACATTAGGACTTGCACCATCCTGACCATAAAAAAGGAGTCACCTGTGAAGACCACTGGGGAAGTTGTGGTTCAGTTTGTGGTGAGTTGCACTAAGAGAACTGTGTGTATGTGACAGATTTGCAATGTTGATTGTAACATATTTGGGGATAAAAACAAACAAACAAAAAATAAAAAATAAAAGATGCAACAACAAATATTACTAAACTAAACATTTTATGTTTTAAGTTGACTAAACTGGATTATACTGGTTTAACCATCGATTACACTGATGTTTATAAAATGAGCATTCAAAAATAAATTCCTGTTTGTTTGCCATTATTGCAGTATCATAATGTTTATATATGAATCAGCGTCCAAGGCTCAAATGCTGTTCTTAACCAGATAATAGAAGAAAATCAAAGCTTTAGATTTAAAATGTATTTTCTTATAAATACACTTTCTTGACCTAGCCTTAAAAAATGACTTTTTGCAGTTACGCTCCCTTTCCAGGCACCCTATTTACTAATGTATGGATTTTTATATTTTGCCCAGCTGACAAATTTAGGTTTAAAAGCGTTAAGACAAAATTCTTTAAGCATTTCAACTATGACCTAGAAAAGAAGAAACTGAGATCTTGGTGATGAGCTACATTTGTACTGTTCTAATTTAAGCTAAAGTTATGAGTAATGTCGTGTTATTTCTTCGAAGCAGATTATTCCATGCAGTAAGATAGACACCATGGAGAAGAGGAGAAGCGTTTCTAGTATCTTCTTACTGCTCCTGGCTCTGCTTCAACTGACCACGCCTTCTTCTGGTAATTGACTACGTCAAATAGGAGAAAAATTGTCAACTCAGCATACAAGCACTGCTAACAATTGCTGCTGGTTGGGTTTGTTTCATGGAAAACAACTGATAAAAACACACCCCTAACTTTCCACACGTCAGTTCCACACCAGATTCAGGAGCACTTCGAAAACAATTATAATTAGTCACAGGGAATAAAAATGTAGTTACAGTAATATTTAGAAAAGATTAAATGGTAAAATCTCAATGGTCGACACAAATGTGCACTGTGTGTGATTGACAGATGGTTTGTCCATGATAAACCAGAATATGTAGCGTCACCAGTAGATGACGCTAAGTCCTCTTCAGTGTGCATTTATTACCCAAAACAAAACAGCAGGTCAGTGATAACCAAAACCTGGTTCTTAGTTAAGGTTGGGATGAGAATGAACTTTCATGGATGATGCAACATCTGCAAAACCTGACCAAGATGTTAATGACGTCAAGGCCTTTTAATTAAAGCAGATGTCGATCGAACAGATGTCAGTTTTCACTCATACTCAAAGCTTGAAGTGAGAGATCATCACCATTATCAGGGAAAATGATCCAATTTCACTTAATTGTTCTGAAAACAATGATTTATTTAAATCAAATTAATTTACTTACTCTACACTGTATTTAATAATAATAATAATACATTTTTTTCACCCAAGGACACAATTATTAAATATATATATTAATTATTTAATACAGTGACAGGCAGAACAATGAAATATTCTTTCACTAGATGACAGCAGATCACTATCAAAACTAAAAAGAGAGCAACATGATTTCTGTGGCAGCTCAGAACCCTGGTTCATTCTTTGCAAATTCAGGTTACAGCACACGGCCTGCTAACGTGAAAGTGGCAGTGGGAGAACCCGCAGAGTTTAAGTGTGGAGTCCCGGAAGGCTCTTCCAGCCTCGTGTTTACCTTCTACAGTAGCCACGGCAACTACAGCATCACCTGTCCGGAGGGTCATGTGGAAGACATCCCCCAGGTGAGGAGTAACAAGTTTACCAGAAGTGTAAATCTAGTCTTCCCCCTTTGTCTTTATAACTCCACATTACTCTGTCTCTCTGTGTCAGGCTCTCTTTGGGAGTTGTGATGTGAAGAATGGAGAGCTACTGTCTGTGTGGAGGCTCCAAGGAACCTCGTACTCTGACAATGGCACCAAAGTCGAATGTCGGCAGTCAGAGAATCCAGAGATTTTAATTGCTATCTTACATGTTTATGGTGAAGAAACTTAATACACTAAACGATACAGTATTTTGTGTAGAGCAATATAAAAATGTCATTGGCTTGGTAATATATTTTATTTGGTTACATTTATTCTGAATAAATTCTGCTAAATATAAAATAATTTAGATAAGGTAAATGTTAGCAAAGTTTAAAAGCCAAAAACAAAGTCAAAAAGTTAGAAAATACCATGTCTATGCATAGTTATTACCTAAATAATATAATTAATAATAAATAATAATTACATATTTAAAATTCTGAGCCTGGTCTAACTTCCATCATAGTGTCATTCATGTTTTTGGTTTGGCTGTTCTAGATGATGGCACCAACTTTGCTGTTCTGATTGGCTGCACCATCGGGGCCTTCTTTGGCATCCTGCTGGTGTTTGGTTTGTCTTATACAGTGATGTGGAGATCTGAGAGACTCCAGAGGTGTTTTGGTAGGTACTAACTAGTTTAGTTGGTATTGGGAATGTAGTGCAACAATTTACTGACAACCCTAAAGTTGAAAGGGTCCAGTGATTATTTACATCTGTTTGCTTTCAGGTGGAAATGGAAGAGAGGAGGATTTAGTCACAATAGTAACAAATGACCAAACAGAGGAGAAGACAGAAGAGAGTGTAAGAAGGAAAAATGTAGAAGACTAAGAGAAATGTGAAGAAAATGTTATCTAATGGTGATCCTTGAAGTTATTTACACTTAACCTAATTAAATTACACACCACAAATATGAACCCTTCTCTATCATTTCAGGTCATGATTGATTAAGGATAGCACTTAATGTGTCTTTTAAATGTCGGTTATTCCTTCTAAAGTAATTAAACTATTTTTGAAAGAACAGTGTGAACTACTTTATTACATCAGAGAACATGAGAAGAGCTTTACTTGAAGGAAGAATTATTTTAATTATTTGATCCCACTTTTACCTCTGTGATGCTTAATTGATTATTTCTCTCTTATATTTATAGCTTTGTGTTATGCAAACACTAAGCTGCAAAGTTTACTTCCTTTAACTTTAGCATCAATACAATTGAATGGTTATTTGAATAATGACCACAAAATCTTTAATTCACAAAATTAATTCTAGTCAGATGGACGGCATCTGATCATTTCAATATACTGTAAATTCAATCACTCAATGTCAAGATCACCCCAAGGCCAGGGATGTTGGCCTCACTGGGTTCCTAGAACCAATTTCTATAATCAATAGTATAAAAAATAACATTACATTTAATTTCCAGTGGTGGTTTAGTGGTTAAGGAAGCGGACTTGGGTCCAGAAGGTTTCAGGTTCAGGTGGGTAGTGCGTCCAACATACATTGTGTTTGGCTCCCTCTGCTGGTTACTTTCTGAACCTTTGAGTAATTATGAAATGTTTCACTGGATGAAGTTCTGAGCCTGTTGCAGTAGTCAAAGTAAGGGTTCGAAATACTGTGGTAATTACTGACTAAGGAATAATCACAAGTTTTTAGCCTTGGCTGGAACACGAAAAAGGCGCTCTTAAGAACCCTACAGTTACGGGAAGACACCATTCCCACCACCAACAGAGGACAGATGAGAGGACAGGGACACATTAGGACAGCCCTCAAGACCTGTGGCTATCCCAGATGGGCACAAATTGTTCTGATACTTCAACAGAGTCTAGGGCAGTGGTTCTGAACCTTGTTGGAGGTACTGAACCCCACCAGTTTCATATGCCCATTCACCGAACCCTTTGGTGATGACCAAGCAGGGGGCGTGTCATCACGAATCACGTGTCTTATCCTCCGCCAAACCCTGAGACTGACTCACTGAACCCCTGGGGTTCGATCTAACCCAGGTTAAGAACCATTGGTCTAGCAGAAGCCATGTGGTCCAAACAAATTTGCACGAATGTCCCACTTGTTAGAAAGCAGGCCCGAAACAAGATAAACAGGCTTCATTTGAATAAATAATATTAATAATAGCATTAAATGAAGCACAAAATTTAAAAAAAGAAAGCTATCAGCAATAAAACAAACTAACCACAAATCCAAACAGTAACGTAAAAAAGAAAAGAGAAGGGTTAAATAAAGCCAACACACACGTAACTGACTGATGAATCAAAATTTTAACTATAACGTTTAGACCATGAGGACATTGTGCCACAAAAACATATTCCATACACTTACATTTTATCAAACTTACTGTAAAAAACAAACAAAACACTATTGACTATACTATAGTCTTACACTTTAGTCAGAAAGAAAGCCATTAATTTACCAACTTTCATTTGACCTTTGTTTGTCACATGTTTTAGGACACCTGCTCTGTCAGCAACACACACACACACACACACTCTCAGCAGGACAGAATTCCAGATCTTTTTTTTTTTTTTTAGTATAGAGACTGATGTTGACTCAGCTGTACTTTCGTTTCCTCTATGACATGGTTTTATCAAGTCTACATGGATGAGTTTTGTATTTTTTTTTATAATGGAACGGATAGTGTAGAGTAATTATTCAAACATGTATTTTGACTACTCTGACTGCTGCCACTTTTGGACAACTACCATAAATACTACAGGCACAACTGCTCCAAGTCAATGTCTGTCTCCACTGATAACCTCTAATGATTGTTATGTTCTCAAGGTGACCTTTTAAGGTTATCAAGATGGCTTCTTAAGCTTTAACTTTTGTCTGTGTAACAGTCATGTTAATGTCATACTAAAGGGTTTTGTTTTGTTCTGTATTCTGTTCTATGCTTTGCTATGCAGGCTGCCGTATGTCAGCTTGTCCTTGTGGAATACTTCACTGTTCCCACTTCACAAAGACCGACAGCTGAGGAACAACATCATAAATGTCGACCTGGTGTCTCTGCCTCTGTAAAGAATGTAAACACGTCACGTGTCACGTGTTCACCACAGTCTGGTCCAACCAGAAATGTTATTGTTTTTTCACCTTTTTTTTACTCTAAAGACTACATTCAGAGCAGAAATGTTAGCTTGGATTGGTTATTAAAATAGTTTTACAAACTTGTTTTTTTTTTCACAAAATGAGTTAGACAGTATGTTTTCACATACAGTTCTCTTCTGAACAATATGACTTAAGTAACAAAAAAATGACAGTACATGATAACACCAGGAGGGGTGGATAAGTCATCACAAAGTTAACAATTACTCGTCACTAATCTAATCTGCCTTTTAAATATTGAATTATCACTCAGACACACACCTACAACTGCACACATTTCCTTTTGTGCTCGTATCTTTACTATCTCTAATGTCCTATAATGATAACTGTGTTATCCTTGCTTTGGCAGCTGCTGCATGCCACAGCTTTGTCACTATGTGAGGAGAAAGGTATAAATAGTCCTCCACCATACCGACAAGTGTGTGTGTGTGTTACATATTTCTGCACACATGTATTGTGTCCACTCATGCGCTCATACGTGGATACACATAAGACAACACAGTACATTATGACATAAATGCCCCGCTGCATTTACATATTATCATGTCCAGTTTATAGCATTGTTTCTTGCGACCCTCAGGTGAGTTTTGTTTTTTTTGCGTCTCGCATCATGTTTCCCAGGAGTTTACGAATAATGTCTATTGACTTGGGTCGCGTAGGTTTGTGACTTTTAAAATATGGGTCCCCAGAAAACATGTTTGGGAAACAGTGGTCTATAGTATGCTGACATTAAGCTATACCTTTAGCTTTTTTTTAATTTTTTGACAAGATTTAGATTTTTCTATGACAGTTTTTAGCTACGTATTGGCTAGTATTTATGCTAATATTTGATAGAAGTTCCCACTTGGCAAAAAATAAATAAAAACATTATAATATATTTTCTACACAAGGCCCCATTAGACAATTTATTTTAGATTTTCAAAGGTCACCTTTTTTTCAACTTAAATCCCTATTATCAAGGTGTTATAAAGGGATAATGTCTGTTAGCCAGTGGACCATCACAAATCAAACATTCTCCAAAGTGAAAAGGAGTTTGAACAGATACCTGGAATACTTGGCTGGAGGAGAGAGATTACACCGAGGCCATGTGAGGAAAGAGAGACAAAAGAGAGTGTAAAAAAAACCCATAAGATCTAGACCTACTATAAACCATCTATAAATGTGTTTCTAATATTGATCAAGTTGTCTTATATGAGATAATACATTTAGGACATTTTAAATTATCTTTGACTATTTTGTACAAAATTAAGTATTCTCAGGTATTTCCAAAGGTTGGCCTGGGGCCCAATTGTTGCACTGGAAATGGTTTTATAAGGCCTCTAAGGCCTTTTCTCCTAAAGTAAATTTAAAGTGAAAGTTTCTGTTTTTGGATTAGGATGCTGAGGATGTTTGGAGCTTTAGCTAGTTGACCTTTAGCTCTTAGCTCTCTGTTAGCTCCTTTGACCTGACTCTTTGCTGTTTCTGTGCTAATTTAACATTAAGTTAACTTTGAGCTCTCCACCTATATTTGAGGCTTGGTTTTAACTTCATCAGGTCATATTTTTAGCAATCTTAGGTATGAATCCACCTGATGAATTTTTTGTCATTCTGGTAGCGGTGTACATGCACACACGCTGATGTTTATGGAAAAACAATACTACCAGTTTTCCGTACACATGAACAAGCACATCGTACCTACATTGTCATGTGCACACTGGATACCTGCACACACACCAAAGTTTATATCCAAAACAAAGGGGTTGGATCAGGTGCTACTTAAACTGGTGAAATAGAAAAGACAAGACTTCTGACCAGGCTGTGGCTGTGGATCAATCAGACACTCTGCTCATCTTCTTGAACCGCCAGGTCAAATACAACCAGGTAGGTGGAGTAAGGTTGGAAACAATGTTTGCCTCAAGGTCAGCTTCTGCATAGACATCTGAAATTAAGTGTTTTATCTTTACCCATTCATTTACAGGACATAATGTTCGAAGGCTTGTGGAATACAGGTTTAAATGACTGTTGCCAGTAACAAACCGGGGAGAATTTTTGAATTGTCATCATACAGTGAATTTAAAAAAATAGTTTTTATTATAAAAAAAACAGAAGTTTAAATTCTTAAAACAATGAGTCAATGCTTTGAGGTGTGTCAAGCATGAAGGACCTTTTTAATTACCTCTGTACACCAGAGGTAATGGTCTTTGCATGACTTTGTCCGTCTTGCATAATAACCTTTCTGTATGTTGATGTATGCACATTTTCCAAGAGTGCAGACTTTAAATGATTAACCATGTTTTAAAATATCTTGTTAAACAGGATGTTTTCTGACAAGCTGGAGGCATTTAAAGACAAACGTTTGACCTTGAGTAATGTCACCCTGATAAAGGTCATGAGACAAGTGACAAAAATACTGATAACAGTTAATGCAATGTTATTATTTTTCTTTTTCCTCTTTCTTTTTATTTTGAATTTCTTTGATATTATGTCAGTAATGACTCTTTTGTTTTGTTCCCAGCACAGTCCTGCACACACTTATTGCTAAGTGTAAGTTATTTTCTTGCTATAGACATACGCATTTAACAAAAAAACATAAAAAAAAAACTTCACTGGGAACTTGATGCTCCAAAACACATGACCATGTTTGGCTATGATATGTTTTGGCATTTGAGTCAAAGTTGATGGAAAGTTGTCGTGAAACCTGTTGGGATTAACTCGGAGCCAAAATATGATCCAATGTTTACTCTCAAAACACCCAGAATGCACCCCTGCTGATAAGACACCGACCTCTTACACCACAAGGGCATCCTTCCTGGGGTGAAGGAGAAGTCTGTGCCTAGTTATTCGCATACATGTGATGGGAACAAAGAGCAGAGAACAGCATTTGCTTCTCTACTGTCTATTGTTTTTGTCTCACAGTCACAATCTTTCTTCCATTCTCCTTAATAGTTGAGTCGAAGATGGGACACCTCACTTTAATGACTTTTATGGCAGGTAAAACACTGAATGGATTATTTAATTATTATTTATCTGTACAATGTCATTTTAAAAAATTTGGAAAGGTTTTTATGGTTATATTCCTCCCCTGCAGAGGGTGCTAAAACACTGTTAGAATGGCTTGGTTCATAATTCAAGAGCGGTGGAACAACATTTTCTTTTTATTTATAAATCTATTATGCAACATTTTACATAGTAAGGTTTTAGTTCAACATTGAATGAATGAATAGAGTTCCTGACCCCTCCTCTGGTTGGTTGGTTGGTTGGTTCACCAGCCAGATACAGATGAGAGCTGTCCAGCATGTGAGTGTACGGACTTTGTCTGTAGGATGACTGATCACGCCAAGTCACTAGTGTTGTTAAAAGAAATGCTGCCGGACAGGTTTAAATTGACCAACAAGTGGTGGCCACATTCCATCAAATGGAGGGTCATCTGTTACCAAAGAGCCAAAGTTAAAGAACCCTGCTCTCTAGATTATATGCATTTTCTAATTTTCAGTAAAATGGCAATACATTTATTAAACAGATATTAAAACACTAACATTGTATATGTCTGGTGTTTTTTTTTTCCAGTGCTTTTCAGCCTTTTCCTGGAAACTGAAGCAAGTAAGAAAATATTCACCTACACATTCTGTGACTGGTTTGTTGTGAAACTGGTTTCTGAAATACAACCTGTTTTGTCCTGTTACTTTGATAATCATCAGGAGAGCAAACCCTAATGTTGTTGTCAGTGGGGATGGTTAAATATCATGCAAGTGTTTACAAAACAGACAGAAAAGACAAGTTGTTATAATTCACAAGTACTGCCCTCAGAACTGAACCCCCTCCTTGGCAACTATTTAGCTAAATGTAATTCAAGTACATGGGCTCTCTGACTGTGACTTCTGCATTATAATGATTTTATTCAGTAACAAAAATGTTAATTACTGTGTCCATCATGTGCACGATAATTAATTTGTTCTTTAATGTTTGTGTGTCCTGCAGATCCATTTGTATACAGTGAGTAGAAAACTTTTTTCTTACAATCAAACATTTTAAGGAAATGACATTAATACAACAAAGTCATTAAAAAGTCAGTTAATTGTGTTGTTTGTTAAAAATGTATTGATACTCTAAAGTTTCAGTGGAATTAAAATTGAAAGTTCCTCAATTTATTGTCTCATTATTTTCCCCAAAGACTATGAAAGGCTACGGATAGCCGGACTTGTCTGTGCCTTCCTGTTGATGATTGGAGGACTCAGTGTTATCATTTGTAAGTGCCCACAGTTTAACAAAGACACTAACATGGATCTGTTCAATCATTTATAGGACAGAAGGATTTAATTTGTTAAAGTATCACTAACTGATGTACAGTACAGTAGCGGATGATGATGAAGCCGCAAAATATTAAAAATTGTATTGTAGATTAAATGAATCCTCCAGTGGTATAGATGTGATGATGTTGGTGCAGAGAAACATGGAATAATCCAATTCCGAAGAGGAAAACATGAAGCTTGGTCAGTAAAAAATAATGAATATCATAAAAATAAATCTCACTGCCTTGCTCTTTGTTTACAGATCACCGGTGTAGCATCAGAAGGTCCAGGTGAGCTTCTCTGTCTTAACTCCAAACTCAGTAGAAAACGCATATCTCTGGAACCCCCCCCCCCCATCATCCCTTAAACTGACGTGCAAATGACGTCTGATTCTTTTGTTTGCCCCTGAAGGAAAGCGGAGGATGACAGCAGTGAAATCTGATACAGTGCCTGACAAACCGGTTTCATCCAGAGGGCGGAGGTGACAGACAGGGGTGGAGAGGAGTGGGTGTGAGATGGTGGGTTTGGTGTGAGTATTTGCACCAAGTCAAGTGACTGTACTTGTAGAGGCATGTGAAGCCACCTCATAGATTCATGTAACAACTACTACAATCATGAAATCATCACTTCATTTTCACCTGTACACCACTGAAAATCTGAGTTTAGTGTTGTATATATTTACAATACTGCAAATTTGTGTACTCATTATTGTTATATTCCTATAAAAAACAATTTAGTCTGTCTCTCCTATATGGGCCCCATCGTTAAATTACATTTTTGATGCATATAGTTCTTCCACAAAGGTGCATTTCTCTGCAAATATGAAACCCTCCTTTTTATTTTCATTGACAAGGTTAAACTGTATTTCCAAGAGACCCATGAAGATAATGCAGGTTAATCTTCTTCAAAACCCTAAACATTTGCCATAGTTAGTGACTGTCATCCCATGGTCTTACTGACTGTCTCAGTTGTTATCTCCAGATATCATTTTTTGAGACGTCCATCTTTACAGACTTTGACAACTACACTGTAATGACTTCAGTTTTCTTAACAGCTATTCCTTAAGAGGTTGACAAATAACCAGGCATGTGTGGTCGATAGTAGAACTGTGGGGGGCGCTACCCTTGCCTTCTTATTCACTACTGTTCATTACATGATTTCCGTTCGATATGATATATTTTCAATGTATTTTGCATTTCTTCATCAAAACATAACAATGCGTGCAAACATATGTCTCTGCTTAAAAATATAATAAATGGAACTTCAAAGTTTTGGCAATGCTTTTTGAACATTGACGGTGTGTAGTCCATGACCTTCAATGGCATTTACATTTTTTTATTATTATTATCATTAATTATTAAAGTGTTAATAACCTGCGTTAGTTCATACACTATATATCAGGTTTTCGTCAAAATGGAGTTCACTCGGCTCTGTTCGACAAACTTCGACATCCTTATTTTTTCGACAAACCAAATGCTCTACTCCTCCTTCTCTTCTCCTCCTTCTGACGCGCTCTGAGCGCTGATCCACGAGCAGCCTGCACGCCCCTTCACGCTTACACATCTGTGTGCTCTTTAGCCAAATACTGATCCTGGATCAGCTCTGAACATCCACTCTACAGCCATGTTTTTATTATGAAGCGCAGCCCCCTTTTCCTCCCAAAGACAGAGGAAGGCTAACCTGTTGAGTGTGTCTCTGTTGAAAGCTGGGTGTTGGCGCTCAACTGTCTGTGCTCTGACTCACACTTCCCTTTTTTATTGCTCCCTATTCCACGTTTTCCTCGCAGTTTACAAAGACTCAAGAAAGGTGAGTGTGGAAAAGATTATACAAGCAGAAAGTTTTTTTTTTCAGTTTTCGCCGTTTTTACTGCTTAAAAGTTTAAGTTTTCCAAAAATGAGCTGGTGCGCATCTTCCTAGAAGAGTATGATCAGCGTAAGGCTGTAAAGTTGAGTGGTTTGCATAGTGTTTTCCAAACATGTGTTTTTACTTAATGTACACTGATCAGACGAGTCTATACTTTTTTTTTTACTTTTAAAGTTTTTCTATAACTAACAACTACAATGTTTTTCTCAGAACATTGTTTAATGTCATTAAAATGTGAAGTTAAATAGTAAAAAGATACGTCTTAAACATGTTGTGTCTCTTTAACACGACTTGACTTAAACGTAACCTGGAGCCTGTTGATGCCAAGACGGAACGGAACGCGGCTCTGGGCCAAAGTGCGCCTCGTCATACAATGATGGGAGTCCCGATCACAAATAGGATATAGAAGCTCAATGGTATAGAATTGCGTGTGTTGTCTGTGTAATTCTACTCCATATTTAGTTCTTGTTTGAATTCAGATAAGATGGAGTACTGGGTACTACTAGTGTGATAGTAGTGTGATAAAACAAGATGGTCAGCACGACCATCTTCTCAGTAAAAAGTTGCATCTGTATCATTATCTGTTGTGGTATTTGTATGTTTTCGTTTATGCGTAAAAAAAATAGTGCCAAGAACAATCCCAACATGCTGCATTTTCTGTCTGTAACCACATCTGCCAGCATTCAAAGCCATTTGATGTTTATATTATAATTACTATACAAACCACTTGACTTCACAGCCTTACCGTACTTCTATAACCGTAAGGCACACGAGATGTGTTTTGTTACCCTGTTTCTTTTTCTTTTTTCTTCTGTTTCCTTTTTGGGACCAGTATTCAGCAAGACTAGTTTAGAATACAAAAAAAGTCAGAAAATATTTTGGACGAATTAGTTGATATGTCTCCTGACAGTCAGTAGAAGTTTTTAGCTGGGCTGTAACCAGGCATTCACTTGTGGATGAGCTGAGAGTTAGGTTCTCAAAACAAGTGAACAGCAATTCAGTCATTCCTAAAAGTATACATGCTATGTGTGTGTGTGTGTGTGTGTGTGTGTGTGTGTGATATGGGCAGTCTCCACAGAGTTTGCTACCATGTGGCAGGAGGTCAGGTTGTGATAAGGACAGATACAGGGGCTGTGACTGTGTGAGGTGGAACCTTACAGACTAGAGGACAGACAGCATATTGATTGATTAGGTAACAGTTTATTCTCACTTTGCTTCAACTGGAAGGACGTTCAACAAAGGTCTGTAGGAGATAGTTGAACAAAGAGGTCACGCTGAAGGCAGAAGGAATATGCACAATATTTCTGCACCTCAAGCATCAAACATTTATTTGCCTTAAAACAACTTAGATGTGCGATTATGTTTTAATCTATTTAACCACAGAGAAGAATGATGGAGGATGTGTTGGTAGAAATGTACTGTTAAAGTTAATAATTGAATCGTATCATGCATCAATGATTGGTCAGTAATTTATATAAAAAACAGGATCTAATTAGATCAGTTTTTCCACTATAAATAAAAATGTGTTCATTAAACTTGCTCTTTAAAACTGTAGGAAGTCAGTAATGATATATAATTACTATGTTGATGCACTTTATATTGAACATGATAACATTTTAATGGTGGGTCCAATGAAAGATAAAGAAACGATGAGAGTAAGTGGATAAGCGACTCTGAATGACATTTATTTGTCTCCTTAGTGCAGACACTTTTAGCTGTCTGTCGTCACTTCACGTGACCACAGAGTTTATAAAAAGAAATGTGGGGACATTGAAGGGACAGAGAGGTGAGACAGACTTTCTCCCAACCAACATTCTTCTCACATCACTTTGATCCCTCACCAGAACAAATTTAGAAACCACAACAAGAGGACATTGATTTTATACCGGTTGGATGTAACTGTGCCCTTCAGTTTATTTACCATCGAACCACAGTGGAGCGCAGTGGAAGAGACAGTTGGTTATATCTTACTGTTGTTCAGGTCATTGTTAGATGATTAGAAATTAATGGAGACTCAGGCAAGAACAGCCTAATGTGAGCAAAGAATAAAGCAAAATGTGAGCTAAAAGAAAGTAGAGTAACAAAAGTTACCCAAAACTACATAAAGAGAGTTGCTCCAAAGTAAGTAAAAATAGGCCAAAAGACAAAGGTTACCATTAATGAGTTGTTATCCAACGTTTGGCTCATTTTGCAGTTGTTTGGCACAAATGAGTTTTGCTTATCAAATGTGAGTTCAGCTACCGGATTCACTCAACAAGTAGCAATTCTGCTATATACCTAAAGAGGTCAATTTTATTAAACATTAGCCCAAAGATATGATTTAAAAAATCAAAATAAAAACATCTGAAGCTAGCCAAGATTGTGTAAAATGTGGGAATTTAATTAAGTTTGCAATGGCTGTAGAAAAGGGTCCAGTTAGGAATCTGTTGCACTGTTGTGCCACTACTCTGACAGAGGAAACAGGGTCTTTGCCAACAGTTGGTAGAACTGCACTGGAAATGATCCAAAATGCCCACTGAAAACATATTCTAAGGGGCAAAACAGAGGAGGCTAGTGAGCCAGGCTACCCAGCGTGACTCACTGTTGTAGTATGCTTTACTCCTTCTCCTTCTCATAACCTCCCCTTTCACCACTGCCCTCTTCTATTCCCTCAGGCTTGAGCTCTTCCTCCTCCTCTTCACTCTCTGTTCTCATATTTTTCCATTTAAAACCTAGTTTGTTCTTTTCCTTTATCTCTTTCCATCCCATTATGGTCATCCTCTCCCTCCGCCTCTCTCTCTGTTCCTCCCTGCATTACAATCCTTTTCTCTCCCACCATCTTAGTAATTTATCCTTTTACACATCAATAGAATCAGCAATTTTAAAGTTGTCTCTGTTGACGGTCTTCTTCGACTGAGAGCTGTTATCAACTGTTAACTCAGCAGCTACGCAGACAGATTTAACAACACCTGGTGACGCTTCTGGGTTTTCAATGCAAGACAAACATGTTGAGCCAAGAAGAATTACAAAACTCCCAAGAGGACATGTTAAGTTGGAGAGATGGTGTGTGTGTGTGTGGCTGCGTGTATATAATAAAGGATGCAATGACCATTGGAATTCAATGCTGCTAAGTTAGGAATAAATAATGGGATCGAGGACAGGCAGCTGTCTTTGTCGTGCAGCACATGAACATACACACTCACATGCGCTCACACATGCAAGCACACAGCAGTCAAGGGGATGGGTGTGGTGACTGTTGGAGAAAATAAACAGGGACACACACATGAATGCAGTCACTGTAGCCATGACTGTGATTGTAGTGTACATGACTGTACATGGACATACAAACAAAGCCGTTTTCTCCTGGTATTCTGGGCATGTAAATACTGAGTGTACTTGTTGTTGTCAGAACAGGGCAGTTCATTTTCATCAAACCAGTGATTCTCTTACTGTAAGAACAGTATTGTCCACTCTCTCACTGTGTAGACCAGACCAGTAATTTTGCAATTTAAAGCGTTTTAAAAGAAGGAATATGCTTCTCATCATAGCAAGTTCAGATATTATCTAGTAAATAAATGGATTTCCCCTGGTGCTTATAAGCAGCTGCCTAATGTTTGTTTGTTCGAACACATTGACCAGAACCAATGGGTTAGTCAGTCTGTTTACTGATGAAGTTGCCCTACTTCTACGACATAATTCATAAAATCAAATGAAATATCACCAGTGGATCTATCCTAGCCTCTGTTTCAGGCTGAGGGTAGACAAAGATAACCCAGATCACTTGAATTTGACTGTTGGATTATGTGTACAACAGTGGGGAAAAGAGGAAATGATGTATGCTTAGCATATGACCAAAAGCACTAATGCAAATTAGGTTTCTTTAGATAAGGGAAGTGCCACAGGAGGAACCAAAGTTAAAACAGGAGCGTGAAAACAGCAGAGGAGACAAATACAGTGTCTTTAACTTCCCATATTGAGCAAAGGAGAGACAATGAATAAGAGAAACAAATAAGAGAGTTTGAAACGACGTGGAGAAGAGTCCTGAGGCCAAGAGACAGGAGACGAGAAAATGGATAGAGTCATAGCTGAAGGATAAATAACAAAGGAACAGTTGGAGACAGGCAGAAAAACATGACAGAGGCAGAACAGAAAAGTCTTTATCTGTGGATCAGACGCAGATGAAGAACTGTGTGTCTACAAAGAAGCAGTGCCCTGAGAGAAGATGAAGAAAAAATGTGGTTTTGTTAAATTTAACTTTGCATAAGACAGATGTCACGTGGATTTTAAAATAACTTCTTAATACATTATTTGTCCTAATTTTTAAAAACATTTTCTTCTTTTTTAAAGTGAAATCCACTGTTGATATCCACATATTAGAGCAGGTGGTGACGTTTGTTTTGTCTCTTTTCTGATTGGCCAACATTATAACATGTAACAATCAAGTCACCATCTGAATGATGTTTTACAATCATACATTTAAAATCAAACTTCTTTGTTAAAAAAATTGCTCTGCCCCTTGTCTTTTTAACTTTTTGGCTAACAGTAAAGTAAGAGTACATATACACTGTCTCAGCGCCGCCTTGTACAAACATTTGCTTGAGTATATGATCTTGAAGTGGGAACAGGGAGGTGCCACTTCTTTCTGCTTTTATTCACTCTCTTGTTTCTCCACTGCCTGACCTTTAAACAGTTTTTTCCCCATCTTTCCTGTTGCTGTCTCTGTCTCCCATCCTCACTCGTCTCTCTCTACACCTCTGCTTCTCTTTCTCCTGCAGTAAACTGTGTTCTAGTTGGTTGTTGGCTCATTTCCCAACCTCTACATTCCCTCTTCGTCGCTTTAGGTTGCTGAGGAGCGGCACCAGTGAAAAGTGCTCGCCCTGCTCTTCTTTCTCTTGGTTTGTGCCAAATTACAAATATCTACAGCCAGTGAACGCCTAATGGCTGTTGTCTTGTTTTCAAACCCTTAGAGATAGTAGACGGCACCAGGCTCAAGGACACTACTGTCGTCTTTATTCTCTGATACGGAAGAAATGATATGAACCATGTAAGAACTGCCAACTGGGATTTGTTCCCACTTTGCTTAACAGGATAGAGTGGAAAACGTACTGATTGAAAGACTGAAGGAATGAATGAATGAGTGGAAAATGTCCAGTTTATAACATTTTGCCCACACACTCACCCTTCTGCTGCTTGCTATGCAGGGTACACAAGTGAGCTATGTTTATAATCCTAATCCTTATTATTTGAAAGTGTTGGAAAAATTAAGGTTGTATGTCAGTGGTAAAACAAATATTCACATGGATAACCCCATAAATCAAGTTTATAGATCGTAGGTCAGAAACTAGCTAAAATTATTGTAAAAAGTACCCAAAGATATCAAAATATTAGCCATTGTAGCATAAAAGCTAGCCCCCAAATAGCCCAAAATCAAGCCGGGCATGTGTAATTAAAAGCAGGTAAACATAAACAGGGTTTTTAAGGTTTGTCTTTTAAAGAATTGCATTATTATAACATATTATTATAACATATATATAGTTAGATAGATAACCAATAGCCTATCAAACCAGCAAAAATGTTATAATGATGCAATTTTTCAAAAGACTAACCTTGAAAACCCTGCTCTGATCTGTGCATCATATTTTTACGACGTGTCCTTATTTTTAACAGTGAGATGAAAAAAAACATGTACGTTTTCCACTGAGCGGAAAAGTGCAGTAAGTGGAAAATCACCACTTAAGCTGAGGTGTGTCTCCTCCCAGTGCAGCTGATCTCTGTAGCTTCAGACAGTTACAGTGAAGCTGCAGGAGCGTGATGTCTGTTAGGAGATCCTTCCATTTTCATTTAAGATGCATAGCGTGAGACTAATGTGAATGTGCAGCGTGGGGAAGGATTGTTTGGAATTAAAATGTTCTTATTTCAATACATAAATCAAAACACATTCCCAATAAGAACATTTTTGCAAAAAATCTTTGGGAGGTCTACATCAATGAAATTGAAACTCATGAAATCACATGACAGGAAGTTGAATGTCTGAAGCTTTTACATGACAGAGGAGCAGCCACGAAACAATACCCAGAGAGTTTTGCCTTCCCTGTTAAGGCTCCATTAGAGCACTTTGTACCCATCAACATCAGATCAGGTTTCTCCGTGCATCTGAGTGTGAAAGAGAGGCCGCTTTAACGCCAATGTAAAATGGATCAGATGTTCATGTGCTCAGGCAGGATGGACGTATGCCGTGTCTGAATGCTTCCAGTGAGCCCTCAGAAAACATGTTGCATCACAGCTTTGTTGACTTTGGTGGCCTGTCTGAGGCGGTTCAAATGACTTATCTGTAGAATTTGTGCACACATGTGAGTGCAGATATTTTTATATTTTTTTATTTATAAATGATGTCTTTTTATTGTCTGTGCAGGGTGCCCTGACTGTAATTGTCTTTTTTTTTATTTATAAACGATGTCTTTTTATTGTCTGTGCAGGGTGACTGACCTCAGACTAAAAATGTCAAAGATCTGCGCTTTGGTGTTTGTGACACGTAAGTAAAGCTCTTCTCAATTAGTCACTTTAGATTATTAACAGAGCTGTTTAGTTTACTGAAACAATGTCACAAATGAAACACACACACACACACACACAGACAGATAGACAGATGGATAGATAGATATTGTTGTTTTTGTAATTTACACAGTTCAATAGAAAATAATGGTTTTTGTAATTTAAATATAGCAATAAAGTCTGTGGCACAGTGCACCAATTAGGACTGAACATATGTTTTGAACTTAATTTGTCCTTTAAGTATAAGTTATTCCTATGGTTTGATACAATAAATAAAGGTTCAAGTTCCACTTTTTCCCTCTCTCTACAACCACTGTCATTTGTCTCACACACATGCTGAGTGGGCAGTGTGTGCTTGGCTTAGCCCACCAATAACACGTCTTTGTTTGTGATTTGTTTTGCAGTCGTGTCCCTGGTGTCAGCAGAACAAGAGAATGGTGTGTATTCTGAATGTTAACTTTCACTAATACCTGTTTCCTGTCCTGTTAGTCAGTTACCCTCACAATACTTGTTTTTACATGCTATGGCTCATTGATATGGACCTACATTTATTTATATCAATTTAATTAATGATTGTTTTTTATACTTCATATAACAATTTCTTAAGGATAAAAAAACTAGGTTAGTGGTGACACACAATCAGACGAACAAAAGTGACCCACATTCACATGCCCTCTGCGTTAGCTCTATCCAAACTAAATCTGTGCTGTGTCATGTTTATTTTACGTTGAAATGTATTGATCAGGTTGAATGGTTTGTTAATCATTAGTGAGAGAACTCAACTAGGTCATTCTGCTTATTTTTAATATGTACCTTTTGACTTTTTCTGTCAGTTTGCGTGCCTGGATGTTTCTGCACGTCCTCATTTCTCTGATTTTAACTCTTGTTGTTTTTTTCTGTTCCCAGCTGAAGAAGACCCTTTTACATTTGGTAATTCTTTGACCTTTTCCTTTGCCATCTTCCTATTACTATCTTATTACCATTTACACATCGATGATGTGTGAGATGACACATGCCATTAGGTTATTTTTGTGGAATTATTGAATATTTGTTTCTAATCTGTTGGTACACGTGATCTGTTTTGTGCAGACTACCACAGGCTGCGGGTCGGGGGCCTGATTCTTGCTGCAGTCCTCTGTCTCATTGGAATCACCATCCTGTTCAGTAAGATTGAACACACACACACACACACACACACACACTGTACATGGAAAGAAAATTAAGAAACTAAGTGAACCGTCTCCTCTGTTTTAGGTGGACACTGCAGATGCAAGTTCAACCAGAACAAAAGGTAATAAACAATTTATCTGTTATCATTTCAAATCCTTTACAGCGATATAATCAGGAGTGGAAGACTTTCATTGATAAAGTGGATTTTGATATTTATATTACAGTACTGTCCTCTCTCCTCTAATTCCCTTTTTTCTTCTTTACAGGAGGAGGACAGCAAGCAATACTCAGCAGATGCTGACTGACCAAGGTAACTTAAAAGCCCTAAGTACTACTCTAAAGATCAGCAAAAATAACTGCCAGTTGGTTTAAGAACTTAACGTGGAACCTAAAAAGAAAAAGGTAGATCTAATCTAAAAAAGCAATGTATCGCTCTCACAAGCTCAATAGACAAATTTAAATAAAGATACCCACATACAGAAATGTGATCACTTAACATATTTGAACAGTAAAGACTTATTCTTTACTGTGTTTATTTCTATGTGTAAGATAAAAGGTTTTAGTGCTCTGGTGAAGTCATGCCCAGGTCTACAGTTCTGTTTACACTCTCCATCTGTTCCACCGAAAATGACCACGTGCTTCACTCTCACACTGACACTGTGTGGAGAGGTCCCATGGAGCTCTCCACATGGAGATCACATGGAGCTCACTGTTCAACAGGTGCTGGGTCTCTGGGTGTTTGGCAGGGAGAGTGGAAAAGTACCGCACGTTATTTTATGTGGTTGTAAATGATGCACTTCAAGGCTTAAACAAACAAAATAGTTCTACTCCAAGATTCCATTGCGTTTTTTTCCCTTGTGTAACCTACATATGGAGGATTAATAGACTGATGACGCAGGTGAAACCAAACTAGATTGATTGAGTTGAAGTAATTTAAATACACAGGTGGCGCATATGGAAAAACACCGTGTGTTCATTATGTAAGCAACTCTGCAGGAGTCTCCAGGGAGACACTGCAGTTGGGTTCTCACCTAAACATACACACTCAGCCAGGGAGTGTTTGTCATTTTCCAGCAGTTATCTGTAAAACACTATTGATGAATTAACTCTTCATCCCAACTTCACACACGGTGAGTGAGAAAATATATATATGGTACTGTAATAAATATGTATTTGGCTGTAACCAGGGGGCTCTTTTAGTATGTTTCTGTGGTTTCTCTGTGGTTCAAAGTAAATTCTTTCACAGTCTTCCATATAATAGTGTTATGAAGCATAAGAATGAAGTGATGTTTAAAGCTGAGCCTCCTGTCTCCCTCTCCATGTCTGTCTTCAGGACGTTCGTGCGACTGCTAGAGGTCGACTGGGACACACACACACTAATTTCCCGAAAATCTGCCTGAAAACCACCAAATTCCAGAGAAGCAGCAGCGGGATTTGAGATCTACAATTACAGCTTCAGTTTTGTTACTTTTTTTATTTAGATAAATCAACATTTATGTATTTAGGTTCTGTGAGGGTTTGATGCTTTCTGCCTGATTATTGAACTACTGGCCTGCAGCAACACACACAAACGCTGTACCCAAAATTTCTCACACTTGTGTCCAAGTCGCTTCAACTATAACGCAGATCTTTTACCAAAAAACATGAGTGTCGTCATACTGTAGTTTGTATTAGTGTATTGCACTACTCCTGCTGTCTGTACTGTATGTGTAAGGTAAACAATGATGTAGATATTAGTCTGTCAACGAGACCAGTCTAACCTTTTGTCACAGATATAGATATAAATATACACACTATCCATGTGGCCATGATTGATTGTAGTGCTGCTGATAATCCAGGATCATGAAGCGTGTAGAAGATTGCACTGTTCTGAGATACAGAGTCTTTGGTGTTTCTATAAAAGATCTGTCAAAACTGCTGAGAGTGATGGAGTGTTTATGTTTAGCAGTTTCCACTTATAAAGATTTTATACACACATTCATCCATGTGGGCATTTTAGGGTGTTTAACTGACCTTAATCCCCAATGTTGGACTGTTGGAGGGAACACTTGGAGAAAACCCAGGCAGCTATGGGAGAACAACAGGCATTGAAGCAGCAAACTGGTGATCCACTTCCTGTAAAGAAAAGAGCACCAAACACTTATTTTACTATGTGTTCCCACCTCACCAATGAACAACATTTATGAAGATGTAAAGACAATAGCCTCATTGATTTTCAAAATAAGTGCCCACTAACAGTGTTGGCTGCTGCACGTTGTCATGGTTTATCATCTGTTTTCCTCTAAATTAAATTGTATTTTACATTTCTTACATGTTCTGTCAAAGAACACGATTAAAAGTGATCAAAACCATAATCTTGTCTATAGACCGTCTGTAAGTCATGTCTGAGTCAATGGTCTCAAAGATGAAGCACATATTTTAACAAATGCATACATAATATCAACACAAGACACATTTTTGACATTATTATTATAATGCCAATTTATTACATGAGCATGAGTATCTTCAGTCAAACATTTGAACAAAAAAAGAGCCACAGAAAATGAACCCTGCTTGGGGACAATGACCAACACTTTTGATTACAGTGTGCAATAATTTGATTTAATCTGTGTAATTTTCTTTGGTCAATCTGAGGAATATTTGATCAAGAGTTATTTCAGATTCTGGTCCATTGATCTGTGCACAAGTGGCTAGTAATGTCTCAATATTCATCATATATATATATATATTGGAACATTTTGGTCGATATTTTTAAATCTCTGGAAATAAATACGGGTGATAAACGTATACCTTTGAAGTAACCTTAATTTATATCCGACTTCTATAAAATCAACTGGAAATGTACGCAATCCCTCGATGCATAGTAGAGGAGGTTTAAGAAATGATGTGGCTCCCCCTAGTGTAAGTAATGTGCATGTGTGCTTTATTTATTGGTAAAATAGTGTGCTAACGTTCACCCTTAGACGTTCTTTTAGCAAGACGCTTTTATTTTATTCATGTCATGTAGATGCTAAATTATTTTTAATTTGATGACAACAGAAGGTCAATTTTTGTCAATGTTGTTTTTTCTACTTTGTTTATGTAGGGAGCAACTCACGAAGAAGAGGCATTTCAGACATAATTCTTAAACCTTTATTACTGCTGTTAAATATTCTAATATATATTTCCTGCATCATTCATGCAGAGTACAAAACAGTGAACCACCCCCTAAAAATGTATTGGGTTTAGCCTCGTAGCCAAGTTAGTCTTCAGCAGCCCTATGCTCAGTTTGTAACTGCTGGGCCTGCAGATCGTATGTGGAGATTGAGCAGAAAGTATAAAGTCTGACTGCACACAACACAAAGTCTCTTTCACTGTGTAGAGACAGACCAAAACAGACCAGACCAATGGACTACGGCAAGTCTTACGGCGACCCTGCGTATGGAAACAGGGGTTATCCACAGGTACAGAATCTCTTCAACATAACTATGACTATCATATATGTTACAGCCGCAGTTTAAATGTAAAATAATTAAATATCACAAAACGTTTTAATGCATTTTTAAACAGATTAGCTAGATAAATCCCAAGCGTCCAAGTGTTTGGACCACGTTAATAGCTAAATAAATATATTACTATCTAAATAAAAATTGCTTTATATACATATTTTTTACATTACTTTGAATTCTTTTTAGAATTATTATTAATTAGACCTCTTAAACGTTATCTGCTGTACAATAGTCAGACACAGCGAGTGAATAAGTGTCATTAGTGTTCAGAAAACAGTTTTCTCATGACTGATCTGGTCTAATTTGAATCTAACATATTATATACATATCTAACTACATAAATAATTAAAGAATTTAAGCATCCTTTTAACTTATTATATATATATATATCATATATAGACATTTTCATTAAAACACAGTATCTGGTTGCCTGTGGAACCCAGCCAGCCTTCATTTTTATATGTTTTTTGTTTTTTTTTCTACAATAACTTATGTTCTGTCACATTCTCTTTTTAAGTCATGCATATCTCTAAAAAATTGTATTGTATTTCTGCTTTGTCATCTTTAGGGTTACAACAATCAACCATCTTACGGGGGTGAACAATATCCACAGCAGACATATCCAACTGCTCAGTATAACTCGGGGCAGCCAACGGTCATAACAAGTCAGCAGTACCCAGGGCAGGCAGTAGTCATAACTGGCCAGCCTACAGTTTTTGCTACCCAAGGTGCCCTGGCTCGACCTGTCAATGACTACTTGGGCTACTCCATCTTTACCATGTTATGTTGCTGCCTGCCAATTGGAATTGCTGCCCTTATCCACTCCATCTTTGTGAGTTATATTCTTACATACTCATTTTATCATTATCAATAAAATACCTATTGCATACATGATAGACTTAGACTCCTGACAGCTATGAAAGAGGCACACTCTAAATGAACAACTCTGTTAGAAATCTGTATTACAGAGTGTGTTAGTCAGTCAAATAACACAGGAGAATTGTTCTGATTGCAGTGTTAATGCCAATATTTGCTCCAGGTAACATCCAGTGTTATCTGGATGTTACCTGTTCACTTGCATGTTGTTTTGACAAGACTGTTATTGCATTAATCTGTTATTAAAGTGGGAGAACCAGTGGAATAGAGAAATGCAGAGTAAAGTGAAACTACCAGTGTATGATAAGACTTTATTAAACCTATATAGTCTGTATAAAGTCTATGTTTATCTTGTACGCAAAGAGGAAAAAAAAAAATCAGCAATAGAATAATAGAGTGGGATTACTTGGCCATTACTGAAACTGTTAAAATTACTTTGAAATATGATTTAGGCCCTGACTCCATTTTGTTGAAATATAGGTTAAGTCTGATATTATGGTTATATCAGACTTATGACTTATGGTCAGATGTAGGATGATGGAACACATGCATAAAAAACTTTTACCATTTATTATTTGAGAAATGTCTGTGATCTAACCACAGAAAGGAGAGGCAGTAGTTATTGTCTCTTTACGCTTCCTCTTTGGAGTTGTTACTACTCCAAATGTGTCGATCTTTACAGTACTCGAACATTTTTGGAGAAAAATTGTCAGTATATTTTGAAAGTACTGAAAAAAAAAGACCTGGCCAACAATAGAAGACATATTTCAAACCTGATCCCTTACATTTGGTCATTTTAGTTCAGGTTTAAATGCTGAGCAAACACTTACAGTTCAGTAGTGACACCATTAGAAGTAAATATTTGTCCAGCAGGATCCACCCAACTACAGTTAGTTGGTTTATGATCTGGTTACTGATGTTTTATGATTCCAGGTAAGGTTTACAATTAGGCCATTGTACAATTATTGTTGAAAGACAAGTCAAAGCTCAAGGTCTTTTTTAAACCATCTGTACAACTATAACACTACAATCATGCATCAATCAAAGATGCTAAAATAACTCTACCTGATATTTATGCCAAAAATGATAATCGCAGTTGTACTGCTTTACCTTATATTATAAATATAATATTTATAATATTTATTGCTGGATATTGCCTACTGTTTTAATTCCAACTAATTTCACAAATTCTATCAATTAATCGTAATTAATCACATTACGTGCAGTATTCAATACTACGTTCATCCTATGATTTTTTAAGGAGCTAGTGATCAACAACTTTCAGAAAAATGATTACATAATAATACAATTTAATAACACCTCTCTTTGACTGCAGATTGAGACAATTCTTTACTGTAGGAGGTTGGAAGTGTAGCTACAATATGTCCTCATTGGTGTGAACATTTATGGTGTTGTTGTGATCTCTTCCCTTTCTCTCTCTCTTTCGCTCTCTGTAACTTATCTATAAATTATAAAATCTTCAATTTTTATCTTAACATTTGATGTTAACCTCTGTTTTGTGTCTTGTAGATACCTCTGAACCTCTTGTAATGCTTTCAAGCTGAGTTCTTGTTGTTCCTGAAAATTTTTTAGATCCCTGCTCTTCATTTCTGTTTCCTCAGCTGATATATTTCTTAATGTTTTCTGACACCTTCAGACTCGTGATGCCATTCGAAATGGTGACCAGACAACGGCTGAGAAATCCAGCAGAATGGCCAGAAATCTGAACCACACAGCATTGGGAATCGGACTTGCAGTCTTCATCGCTTCCATCATCTTTATTGTGGTCACGCTTGCGACTGCTAATAATTAACTTTAAAGGGATGCTGATTCATTTTTTGGCAGAAACCATGATTAAAATCCATATGAAAAAGAAATTCTGAAAATATTTTCGCTTTTAAGATTAGATTCATTAATCTATATTAGCCTTTAATACAAATTCTTGTATTCTTATTGATCTCTCATGCCTTAGGGATTGATGTTAATGTTTCTACATCAAATGGCGTTTTCATCTTCAAGAATGTGTCATAATGGATAATGGGAAATAAAACCTGCAGCTTTCACATCAGCAAGCTCTAAATATGCACTAATTATGCACTTACTGTGTTCCAGAATTCACTGAATAAAGACCTACTCAAAGAACAACAAATTAAACTTGGTGTTTGTTGTTTTTTTAGAGAATTTCCTCTGACCAATATAATAATATATAGTATTTTACTCACATCAGTTGAAGCTGAAGTTGACTTTGTTTGCAGTGGAGTTCACTGAAAGATGTTTCATTTGATGTGTTAGAGATGTACTTCACACATTCCATATTTTTGGTCACAGCTTCTTGTGTGCTCCAGTTGTCAGTGTAGTCCAAGACCAAATGCATCCTCACTTAATTAACTGCCAATCAGGAGACCTGCAGAGAAGAGACAGGTCTGGAGGACTTCACTGACGTTTAAGAAACTCAACAGTTCCAGTAAAAGTACTCTTGTATCACCAAACGAGGTGAATAAACAGTCCAGTCCTCTGCTGTCGTCTCCTTGTCTTCTGTGATTGTCTGTCTCTCACTGCTGTGTTGCACCTGTGTTCATTTGTTGCACCTGTGTCCACTCCTGTGATGTTCCCACTTCATTAGACTTCCCTCATGGAATAGTATCTCCTTCTTGTGTTCCTTCTTTTAAAAACATTTACACTTCTGGAGAACAATAATGATTTTACAATTTTTAGATTTTTTCTTTTAATTATTAATTTTTGTCGCAAAAATAGCTCTTTAAAGCTTTATTCAATGTCGATTGCTAACAATATATTTGATGTATTTTCATTGTTGCTCTATTGTGCTAAGGCCTTCTATTCTTCTGAGCTGAGTTATTTTTTATGCTTAACTTTGACTTTTTAACTTATCATGGACTATAAAGAGGAGTTGACAGAATTGTATTGGTCCCTCAGTCATAAAGCAAATGGTTATTCCAATACCGGGAGTCGAACCCAGGCCGCCTGGGTGAAAAAATAATGAGTGTCTTCCTCTGTTAACCACATGAGTAAAAACGTGTTACAGCTGTAATATCAGAAGGTTAATGTTAAGCTGTGGTTTGTTTAACTGTAACATGTAGTACGTGGAGCTTTATATATTGGATTGTAATAAACTTTTAAAGAAAGAAACATTACAATTCACCTTTCATCTTAACAACACTGCTATCTAATCAACATCAACCCAAGAGTCTTTCCTTCCAGTAAAGCCATAAATAATGCGAAATGCGTCAACGTTGCGACAGTGGTCGTATAAGTGACCTGTGCCAGTAAACTGACACATTTTATAATGGCAGAAATACTGACGTGGTACCAGACAGCTTTTACAACAGCACCTGCAGCACACCTGCACACGCAGTTCGTTTACTACTCGGTTGCTGTCACATTATTATAACTCTACCTCCCCCTAGTGGATAACAACACAATTTCCCACATTGACCACACAATTCTGCTTCTGTCTTTATCATTGTTTTCTTCATTTATTATTGCCTCTTAATTAAATTTGTCGTTTTTATCACAGTCCTCGTACTGCAGAATTTTTTTACTTTTCTTAAGCGAGCTTTATATGTAGGTTATAGGTTGTGTCTTAGTCCACCTCCTCTGAGGAGTGATGGTTTTTCCAAGTTGACAAAAATAGCTTATTTTACTCCTCTCTCAAACCATCCGTCCTCCCTGGCCAAAATATGAACATTGTTGTCCTCGAAAGTGTGTGTTTTAAGGCTCTCTTAAGAACAACGACCAAAAGATTCACCTCAGTTTCACACATCAAAGAGGCATGTGACCGAAACCATTCAGATGAGGATTGCAACGACCCAGGGACCTGAAGTAGCTTTATTTTTTGTCAAACCCATATTATATACAGTATTGGTTGTACTCCGCACCACTGATTAGACCTGAAGCACTGAAGAGCCGAAAGCTCTTCTTTGAGAAGATTTCACATCCAGTTGCATAACAGAACTCTTCAACCCTCAAGAAAAATGAGATTTTAGTCCAACTCCACATTCTTCTACAAACTGCCACATTAGGACGACTGCATGAATGTAAAGGCCAGATCTAAATCGATGATTTATTGTCTCTGACATTTGTGTCACGCTCTCTACAGAGGTTAAATGTCCACAAGCCCCAATTTATTCATCTGGAATGTTCTGTGAACTGTTTGTTTCTCACTCAGTTCTCACCTGTCACATTTCATCATCTGTGAAACCTCCCTGCCCCAAGCTGGGTGTGGTATAAGTTATAGTTAGCTACCTAATTGCAGCTGTTTGATTGGCGGTTTAATGCAAGCATCGGAATAGTCAATAGTGTATCAATTCGTGTCATGTAAATATAAAGGATGAAAATAGTGCTAGGAAAAATACAGGAATAAAACGTGAATGGGACGATCTTATACGGTCGTTGGATATTTTGAAAACTTATGCAGGGGTGAAACTTTAAGTTTTGCACAAATAACAAATTATACTGTATGTATACCACCCTGGTTTACCCAGCTGATGGTATGCAGTATAAATATAAAAAATCCATAGACTCTACTCCAGGTCCAAAACAGTGTCTAGTTTTGTCAATTTCATCAACTTACCTCAGCCTTTCCACCCTTGAACACATCACATACAGTTCAGAATGACAACTTTGGAAACAATGAGTCCAAAACCAGCCCAGCAGGCCTTGTAATGTGGACTGAATATTTACAAAAGAACCAGAACAAGGAGAAAAAGTCTGTGTCAGAACTGGAAAACAGAGATGATGATGAAAAGCTTCTACCTGATAATGATTTGCTTCAGCAGCAGAGTGCATCTGTGACGCAGTTAAAGAACCATGTTTCTGCTCAAGATGAACACAAAAGACACACGGGACCACGAGAGACAAATCAGTTTCAGAGCCAATGTTCCAAAGAAGCTCTCAGGTCTAAGAAAGTTCAAGGGCCAAACCCTGATAAAAACCTGCCAACACCGAAGAGGTCAAACCATGACTGTGATAAATCTGGTATTCGAAGACTTTTATTTCGGAATACAGGCCATTTATTGAAGCCATCAGCAATAGCTAATGGTCTGAATGTGATAAAAGAACAATGGAACTCCACTTTTCACCTTAAACCAAAGGTTGAACGACAATCTGATAATCCCAAACTGTTCTCCGTTATCAAACTACAGCAAAAACAGCCAAATAAGGGACACTTTTCTCATGAAAATAAGAGGTGGCAGACTGGAATTAAACATTAATATTTACTTTATTTATGATTAAACTAAATGTTATTAATGATAAAAAAAAGTGTCTGACCATAATAAAAATGTTTCAACTCAAAAAAAGAAACATGACATCTTAAGTTACATGTGAAAACATCAATAAAATGTGTAAAATATCCGACATTGTTATTTTTCTAACATGACGTGGATGCTGTGGCATTCTTTCTCGGATGATATGGGATCGCCTTAAACACATGCAAAAGAATTCATTCACATTTTAACTATGAATCCCAAATTCATGTGTGCTATTTGCAGTTTTGGTCCATTTTAAAATAATTTCCCAGATCTTCTTTACAGTTCACTCCCTTTGTTGCGGCTCAACGTCCTCAAGTCTCCCTTCACCTTGGTATACACTTACCATCAGAGCTTGGTGTTGTTTTCTGAGGATCTCCTGTTTCTAACTCACTACTCTGCAAGATCGTTGTCCACCAGCGATCACTGAAGCTTTGTACACACACAGAGGATAAACTCTCTCCATCCTGGTAATCCTCCCTCATTTTCTCTGGGATTAGATCCTCTGACATCACCTGGTTGACACAATGTAGAAAGAAAAATGTAAAAGAAAGAAAGAAAGAAAAATACTCACATAGGTCCCAATAAACAGCTGTTAAAAAAAACTGAGGGGTTTCTGTGGTTCCTGAACTTTGAGCCTCAGAGAGTAAAATACAAAGAAAATATATGTAAATGCATTGTGTGCCAATTAAAGCAAGAACCACTGTGTCTATCTATGTCTCAAATGTATGTTGAAATGTGTGTTTTAAATCAACAGCACACCTAACTAACGACTCGCTGTCCTTATACATGTCCTGCACCACACTCGCATACTTCTAAGCAGTGATCTGGGTATGAAACTCAACTGATGCTCTCTGATCTAAACTATTATCAGTGTCCATAAGATTCCTTGAACTTTGCCCTTGTGTGTCCATGATTTATTTACCTCAGTGAGAGTCTGGAGTAATGTTTCATCTGGGTTAAGTTGCTTTAGTGCCTCATCAATCATCTGTAGAGCGTGTTCACTGCGCTGCAACACAAAGGATGACTGCTGCTGTTGCAGGATTCTCAGCAGGAGTCTGACAGAGACGAAATCAAACTTTCAACCTGCACTGAAGCAATTAATAAATCCTAGAAACATGTTGAGTGAGAGTCCAACTCATAATAGGTGCTTTGTCGCAACAGAATGTCAACTCAATCATTTGTGCCGTAGTGTGTAAATTTAGCAAACAAAAAAAAATTTTTTTTTGTTTTTTGTTGTCTCTGAAAAAACAATTACACATTTTGTTGAATTTAATGGATGACAAACAGTGTGTTATACCTTGTCCTGATGAAACAGGTGCAAGCTTTGAGTCTGAGTCTGCTCTCATCCAGCTCTGCTGCCTCCTGTTGGTACTCCTCAGTATGATGCTGCTCTTCTGCTGAGGGGGAAGCAAGTTGTGTTGGTGAACAAAGAGAAAGAATGTTTTATATAAAATAATAAATAAAACAGAGGAAATCATTTTTGAACTAGAGAATTTTGCAAAAACAACAGTGATGTTGATGAATTTATTTTTGGAATAAACCTACCACAGGTTGTGTTCTTCAGGAGCTGCAGACATACCTGCCCCAGGTTAAACCAGTGCCATGGGTTAAAGGGCAGCAAACTACAAAGCTGCTGAAGAGACGAAATCTTTGAGCTGACGGCTCCAAAATGCTCATAAATGCTGACCTTTAAATGATAAAGAACGTGTTGACAGTATTAGTGTATTACTGCAGTTTAACAGAATAAAACCGATTACCAAGAGAGTGTGTCCTAACTAGTGCTGACTTTTAGCAGGAGAAGACTTGTAAGATGACAGGTGTTGGAGGCTTCCTTGTTCTGACAAGAGATAACATATAAAAAAAAAATACAGGTGATATTTTATATTATTGATTTTCTGTCAAAATAAAAGATAAATGAGATAAATAACTTTGTTGCTAAGTGAAAAATAACTTAAATCTTTTGTTAAAAAAAGAAGTTTGTTTAAAAAAAAAAACAACAAAATACATATTAACTTCAACAACCCTTACAAGTGATTCAGCCAGTTCCAGTGCTCTGTCTCTTTGCCCCAGTTTGGTGCAGCATCGACACATTCCCTCCAGTACATCTCTTTTGATGCTTAAGTTGTTGTCAGGGATCCACTCCAGACAGCTGCTGTAAGATTCCAACGCTTCCTGTACGCAAAACATTATGACAATAAAACTCACGGATGCACAAAAAAAGGAAAATCAATATGTTTTGATTCTATGATCACAGATTTTGCCGAATCAAACCCAGGAAGGGCTGTGGTGTAGTAAAAAGACAGAAAATGTCCTCGCTACCTGGGCGCTGTAAAGAATGCAGTAAATGCTCACTACAGGATTTGCCAAAAAGAGAATGATGATAAAGAAGGTGATAAAGAATTAACCTTGCTGCGAAGACAACTGGCGTGTTGTATATAGCACAGGATAATAATTGAATCTTTGCAGAAAATATTAAATTATGCAGTAGTTATAATAGTAGTTATAAGGAATAATTACCTGAAAGTTACCACGTCTCAAAGCCAAGTCACCTCTGAACTTTTGAACTTTCTGCTTTTCTAGCAAGTCGTCTGTATCGAGGGCAGAACTTTCACAAAACCACTGCAGACGGAAAAAGACATTTAATTTTTTATTTATTTATAGAAACTGATATATACAAGAAATCTTTAATACACTTGTGGAGCAAGTTTTTTTAACTAGTTGAATTAGGTCTACGATATTCGATGACTTTTTCCTGATTTATTGCCATGTCTGAGCAATTAAAGCAGTTACATTTTTTTACGACAAACATTTCATTTTACGGCTTTATAGGCATGCGTTTAATATGAATTGACCTGGGGGTTAGTGAATTAAAATTCACTCAATTTTGTATAAAATAAAAATAATTATAAGCGGTGGGGTACGTATGTGTCAAGGATTAGCTATAGCACTAGCCTGTCAGTCTGGACTCACCCGTGGTTCGCAGCGTTTAGCAGCGTAAGACGGCAGAGACGAACACACTCGCTCCTTTGCTTCTAGAAACACTGAGTCGTCAAATGTACTTCCAAAAATCTCCATTTCTTTGGCGAAATTTGATTTGAGTCCAAAATAAATATTAAAGAAAATATAAATGTTGTTGTTCACGTATCCTCATGTTAGTCCCACACCTTTAACAGCACGGCTTATAGAAAAGCCTGTCCCTATAGTTCCGGCTTTACATGTTCCGGCATTAAAAAACAAACAAACACCCCCCACGCCCCAAAAAAACATTTTACAAAATAAAAAAATATCTGTAGTGATGAACCTACTTTTTGGTCGTTTTGGGGTTTACAGTTGTGTAGATCTGTCGTTTGTACACTGTATGAAGAATATAATGAAAGGCAGAACCGCAAATAAGTTACATGTAATTTTGATCAAAATTTATTGTGGTTTATTCCTCAAACAAGTATAAAATATAAACCTTTTTCAAATCAAGCTAAAAATAAAGCCAGCATCCCCAAAACAGCCAGGATATTAAATTAAAATTGCACAGGTTTTTTGTTCTACAGCTGGTCACTTCAGGACGATAACTGCAGGGAAACAAATACATATCTTAGCTCTTTAGAGTCACACAAATATAACTACTGTTGCTTGAAATAAAGCACAGGATAGGGAGTTTATAAATACATAGAAGGAAATGTCAGTTCCATGGAGGCAGGGAAACACTTAGTTGTACTGCTCTGATGACAAGATTGAATGTTTAAACCAAAAATTGTTTTTGCTTCATTGCCAGCAGAAAGTCCAACCACAACAACATCAGATTCTTTCCCAGGTGTCTCCTTTATAAACCATGAGAGTTGGATAAGGTGCACTAATTCATGGTGGACTTTCTGGAGAGTTGAAATCACAGCATATTTTCTAATGCAAATAATAGGCAAAAATAAAGATTTAAATGATTTGACTATAAAATAAAATAAAGCTGTTAACATTAATCCTTGATTACGCTTTACACCAATGTGTTGGGTCATGTCCTAACATTTGTTTGCAGAGATACAATTTATCGGTCTCAAGCAGGACTAATGCAATTAATACTAGTTCTGACTCTGCATTATGACTGTACAGCAACTTGCTTATTAAAACACACCATTTTAATGTACTATTTTCCACTTATGGGCCTTGGAACATAAATAGTTATTCTTTGGGTCATACTGCCCAGTCTTTGGGTGTAGGACAGTAAGAGAAAAAAAAAGTTGAGTTCGACCATGGATTCAGATAAATTGTGGATCTTAAGATTGAACCTTTTGATAAACACTTATAAAACTGTCATTTTCCCCAACATGTTATCTGTCTCAGGAACCAAATAAAATCCATTACAGGAGCTAAGAGATCACTGGCATTACTCACTAAAAAGGTGTAAAAATGTAAACTGCACTGAAGAAAAAACACAGGTGAAAAACCAGGGTGTCTGTTAAAAGCAAAAACATGGGGTAAAAACCTGTCAGCAGATAAAAATTAGAAAAGGCAGGAAAGGCAAAAAGGTGCAAACTCCACTATCAACCAAATAAAAAAGATTTACACTTACAGTGTATTACAATTCTGACAATATCTTTCTCAGACAAAAAACTAGCTGCTATATAGTGAAAACATTTCAACCTCAGATTGCATAAGGGACGTTCAAACAACTACTTTCTCAAAATACAGGAAACAAGTGAAGGCAAAGCAGGAGTATAGAGAAAATCACAGATAGGACACGCGAGTATCATCGGACAGCAGATAACTACTCTGATCACATTATTAGCTCTGAGCTCTACTGCACGAGGTTAACTAGGACACATGATGAGTGAAATTAGTAAAATCACAACTCAGAAGACACCACTCAGAATATTTCTGAAAAAAATATCTTCAAGAGAATATCAACTGTCAAGATTAAATGATAGTTATTATCATGGTTTTATCACATTAAGAATAAGGATGGCTACATTCTGATACATCCTCTAAAATCATAAGACAACTGAAAGGATGTAAGCTGTCTTAACCCAAAAAAGAAGAGTGAAGGATCAAGATTGGACCAAAATCGCCATCCAGTATATGAGGGTGAGAAAGTACACTCTCTCCTATTTGTATATAATCAAAATAGGTACAACTGTCAGTGTGCAGCAACACAAGTACAGCTTGATTCTTTTTTAAATTTTTTTATGGGAAATCAAGTGAATTATTTTGTAAAACAATAAAGATTATATCTGGTAGTAATAGAAACTGTAACTGCCTAACAGATAACCTTCACATAAAATATTTTGTTTGTTCTGAGTTGTGATTCTATAATTCATTCAAAGTACCAAAAAGCCACTCAGGCAACACTAACTGAATTCTTATTTTAAAAACACTACTCTTAACAACAAACAATCAATCCACCGGTGTCTGACAGTTGCAATAGTTGCAACAGTTGCTGACATCTGTTTTAGATAGAAACATATGAAATCATTCAAAAACAGACAGACTATAGTATCGAAAGAGCACGATGTAAAAGAATGTGGGTTGTATACCTGGACACAGAACTAGGCCTAATCTGGGAAATTAAGTGTTGAAAAAAATTTGGAAAATAAAATGCACAGACTTGTGGCTAAAAAATAAAATAAAATAATGAAAAAAAAAAAAATCTGTTTTTCCAGATTAAGCGTTTACTGTGCCAAGCATACTGACCCCAAATACTGTATGTACAAAATGAGCAGTTGTTCCTCTTGGTTATTGCATGCAGAAGTATACACCTCAACATTTATTGTTATTACTTTTAATGGCCAGGCATTTGTTACGTCACAGCTCATGTCCACCGTCCCTCAGTTGCTACAAATGAGCTAAGATCTATTGGTTCTTAATCCTTGTAAATGCATTTTGTGCAGCACTAGGTGCTGACTTTAATCATGTGAATGGTAAGAACAACCAAATTCATAAAAGCTTTTCATTGAACGACAGAAGTTTTTTTTTACTGTCAACTTCAGAAAAAGTAGGCATCTTTATAGCATCAGCAGAAAGCAGAGTTTGGTCATGCATCACACTTTAGATTGAACGTGGTAGTTTCTGATTTCCAAGGCATTCGCTAATGATTCTGTCACCTTTTGTTGCGAGTTGGTGGAACTCTGTTCAAACAGGGGTAAGAGCCACACAGGCACGTAGGTTTATCTGCAAAGCTTCACAAAAGACTCTCTCTCCCCCTGTGAGAGATGATCTGTAGTCCAGACACTTTTCAGTCTGTTGTACTGTCTGGGAAAAGAGGAGCAGTATTTGGTTGACTTCCCACCATAGAGGAAACACTCTGCTGTTCATGCATCACAAGTCCCCCCACAAGAGATGGTTTCCAAGAATGTCTTGTGTGTTTTCTAAATGCTTTTTTGTCTTTTTCAAACAAACATTTACACAAACATGTTTTGGGAAGTGCACACAGAAAATCGTATGATATATTTTACAACAGTGACCGTAATAAAAGCAGTGGAGGAAAACAGGGGGAACGGTGTCTGTTATTTAAAGCAACATTAGAAACATTTCAACAAGTATAACACGTGTGCATTTTCAAAAGGAGAGATGATTTAAAAACTGAAACTCCCATGGCTCAAATTGTGCAATTTAGCAAAAGTGGTAACTGATTGTTCTACAAACCAAATTCCCAAAAGAGTTAGTACATTTCCAACAATAAAATTGCATTTCAAATATGTATGTTTTTAATTTGGTAATGCACTTTAACCTTTGTAAGTCTCTCAAAGAGACAAAAACAAGTTATTTTCCTACTAAACTAATCTATTGAATTTGTCAAGCAAATGTAGTATCATTTACCCAGTTAAGACCCTGCAACAATTTGGGGCCAATTGCAAATTGTCACCTATGTAATTCTCAAATGGAATATTAATTGATTAATATTAATGAAGGCAATAGCTTCACTAAAGTACTTTTGTAGATTTTTCTTGACATCTTTCCATATTAATAATTCTGTCATTAGTCACAGACTAAAAAACGGAAACACATATTGATATTAGCAAAACACATTAATAATGATTTATCTACCATGTGACTAAAAAGATTATTGTTTTTTTAATAGTTGGCCAACCCTTATAAATTAGATTAGAATAGTTAAGATTTTGTGGACCCCCCTCTTTCTTGTAAAAAGGTTCAATCAAATTACCAAACTTTTACATTTTGGTTTTGACTACATTCTCAGGAAGTGAACCAACTTGTCTGGAAATGTTGTTTGCACTAGTTTTTGAGCCAAGTAAACATCCAAATATAAAATAACACATTAATAAAAAGTGGATATTTGATGATACTCCTCAGATTAAAATATACAAAGGATAAAAAGGCAAAATACTGGTTCAGTTCTTAGTCGTACAAAAACAGATTTGGTCTTTGACAGCCATTTCATGTCATGTGTATATGAGATTAAGGTGCCTAATCAGGAATAGTCCACCATGAATACAAGTGGACAAAGTGCATTTTTTTTAATTAGGTGCTTCACGATTTACACTTCAGTGCAGAATGGAGTCAAATTATTACTTAAAATACTGTTAAATAGTGCTTTTTAAAAAAGTGATTCACAGGCCATGCTTTCAGCACGAACCCAAATCTAAAGGCAAAAGTATCTGTGATTTGGTGGTAAAAGCAGTCTTTTTAAGGGGGGATGAGATAAAGTATAAAATTGGCACTGCCTGCTCCTTAATCCACATCATATAAATTCAGTCCATTTATTCAGTCCTTTCCAGTGCTGCAGTGAAATACCTTTTTTTTACTGGACTCCTTACTAACAGTGGCCAGGGTTTAGTTCACTGATGTAATTCAAAGCTCACAGCTACAATACTAAACTTGGCACAAAAGCCTCACACTATCTGAGTCCAAATTAGTTTTTTTTAAGGTTTTTTTTTAGAAAAAACAACAGTCTTTTAAAAGCACAGAATGACTTCTATCAAAAGATGAAAAAGTTGTGTAGAAAAGATTAACAGCAGTGCATAACTTACTGTTAATATCAATCGGGAATCTTATTATTAAACAAACAATGGCTAAAAAGGAAGACTTGAACAGGCATCCTGTGTTAAAAATCAAGGCAATGGCAATCATTCAGCTTTAAGGTACTTCCACACTTTGCCATTTTAGCCAGTCACTCAGGAAGATCTTAATTTTCAATCCAATTATGAAGTTCAGACAAACTGCTGTATACTGTCAGCTTTAAAATCAAACACAAATTGCATCCATGTAGAGGGGCTTAAACAGGCTTAGCAGTGGGGCTGTCACTTTTCCCTAAATCAAGTTAAAATAGTCTTAGTCTTATTTAACCGTTTAAAATATTTTGCTCAAACAAAATACAGCGTGAGACTTTTGTGGAAATTCTGTGGGAAATTCATGTCATGTTTCAGATTCCTAATTGTGTCACAGCGGGGAAATTGCAGTTATTTGTAGTTTAATTGTATTGCTTAAAGAGAATGTTTAAATTTTGTGGGGATTATATTGTTTTGCTTTTTGCATATTCTACAAAAGGGGGCACTGCAGGAAAAAATTGAGTACTGCTGACTTATATAATATATAATACATAATATAATATTACAGATAATGAGATCAGGGGGTTTAATGCCTTGTCCACCCTGATTTAAAACAGGCATAATCAGTGAAAGAGTAAAAGGGTTGATTTTTTGCTCACATGTGATTCTGTGCAGGTTTACAGTCTGAATGATATTAGTGTGCTGCTTTTTTATGTAAGGTAGGTAGCATAAAGATAACCTATTCACTTATCTTATAAGTTTTCTTTTACAGTAGAATGGTAATATTCAAAACTGAAGTGACCCAAATAAGACTGTCACAAACCTAAAATATTGTTGTTTTCCTTTATAAACAGGACAGGACAAATAACAGCTCTTTAGAAAAATGCCTGTTGTCTTTGGGACAGCAAAACTGCAGTAAAAGTTAAAAAATGCCCAAATGTGAACAAGGCATAAATTGTCAAAGTTATTTCTTGTAAAACGTTTATGCTAAAAATATCATCAATGCAGTTAAAAATGACAGCCTAGCTAAGCACTGACATCCATAAATGTCCGATTTCCTAATTTCCTATTCATTCGGGGGATTATCTGGGTCTGTGCTTACAACAACAACGTGTATAGTAGTCTCCCATGCTGGCTTAATTTTAGCAATGATAGAGTGCAATTTTTTAAAGGTGCTGGACAGGCTCAACATTACCTGCTTAAAAATCATGAATTCATAAAATCCATGGTTATGTTTTGTTTTTTGAAGAAAAGCGTTTGGATGTGCCTTGATTAATCATTTTTGGGGCATAAATCCATTTCCAGTTTATGTTCAGGTTGAAGATTGCACTTCATGGTACAGTATTTGTAATATGTAACTTTTTCCCAAACTATATAAAACTTTTTTTTTCATCAAAGTCAAATGTTTAAAACTCGTTTGCCACAATCATTGTCTATTTAGGCTACCACATCACCCACTTTTAATAGGAATCATAATGAGAAATTGAACTAAGGTTAGGAGTCTATTTGTTAGTTTTATGTAGGCATGTGTAAGAAATTGTGAAAAAACAATTAATATTTTAAAAATGTACTCAAAAGGACTTGGATCAGCTCACCATCCTCCAGCATCAATTTCTTTAACATGTTGTCTTTTCACCAATCATTAGTCTTCAGAAACAGACAGGGATTTCTTGACACTACGTGAGGGTTCCCAAACCTCGCTGTCGTCTGTATCGTCTGCATCGTCCTCATCATCTTCATCATCCTCACCGTCCTCATCTCCCATGTCAGCTACGGCTTGGTCCTCCGTGGCTCTTGAACCTCCTCCCCGCGACTCTCCTCCATTTTCTTCTTCCCTGTCCCCTTTCTCACCGCTGTTCGAACACCCTGCAGACGGCTCTTGGAAGGGATCTAACCCCATGTCCAATCGACGCTGAACTTCAGAAAACCACTCTCTCACCTTTTTTTGAAGACAGAGAAACACAGTGTCTTTAGGGAAGAAATGCAGCAAGTACTGCAAGTTCTTTTAAAAATGTTTCTAAAAATGACCCGTCATATACATCTGACTGAGAAAGGCCAACATTTGATACCTGTTCGTAGCTCATGTTGGTCTTGGTGACAAGCTCATCCAGATCTTGCTCATTGAGAAAGCTGTACCTCAGGTAATACTCCTTCAGTATCTCCCTCCCTGTCTTGAATTTCTTGGCAGGAGGTGCTCTGTCAGCATCTGCACCGGAAACAGACCGCCTTGGCTGCTTCCTGGTTCGGGAGCGACCCCAGCCACGGTTTCGGCCACGTCTCTTTCGGCCACCGCCACTTCCCATCTTAGTACCTCCTCCAGTGTTGGCTCCCTCAATGTTTCCACTTTGGTACTGAAAGAACCATTTCAGGTTTCCATTCTTCCATGAGTAGCGAGAGTCTCCAAACCAGCTAACAATGTAAGATCGAGGGAGGCCGCTTTCTCCTGACAGCTGGTCATACTCCTCTGGGGTGGGCCACTGGGTCCGCACAAAGGCACTTTTCAGAATGTGGAGCTGCTCTGGAGTCTTTTTGCTCTTATCTTTAAAGTCTTTCTTGCTGCTGGTACTTGGGTGCTGCTTGCTGCGACCTCCAGGCGGAGTTTGATTACCTTTACAAGATGAAGAGGCGAGATTGTTAGATGCATTTGCTCCCCCTGCTTCTTCTTTATCCACTGCTTTTTCCCCATCAGTTTCAACCTTCCCACCGTCTGAAGAATCTGGGGAGGAAGTAGAGACATGGGGCACTTTCCGTCTCTCTGTGAACCAGGCGTCTATTTCCCTCCTTGTTAGTTTAGTTTCTGTTCTCAGGCGGCTCAGTTCTTCATCTGATGGACTGCTGTTCTTCTCGAAGCTCTCCTCCAGCAGCACCAGCTGCTCTGGTGTCTTCTCTTTAAACTTCTGAAGGGTGAAGTCCGGGAACGGATTCCATGTTTTGGGTCGTGTCTCCTTCTCCTTCACCGGAGGTGTGCAGGGAGGATGAGGAGATGTTGGGTTATCGTCACTCGAATCAATGACAATAGTGGCACTGGCACTGCTGCTACAGCTGCCCCCACCTCGGCCCCCTCCTTCATGAAACACAATGACATGGCTGTTCTTGGAGTTACGCTGGTTGTACCTGGTGTCACTGAACCATTTCTTGATCTCACCCTTTGTCAGGTTGGTGACCTTCATCAACCGAGCAATTTCAGCATCTGTGACAAAGTGATTTTTCAGGTAACTGGCTTTCAGCTCTGCCAGCTGCTCTTTGGACTTCTTAGGTCGCATACTGAATGTGTCAGCACTGAGGGCTGAATTCTCCTTAAAGAGAAAAAGAAAAGGAAGCTCATCAGCAACGGTAAGATGTTCACAGAGAGCAATGACATCAGAAGACTTCACAAGTACTAAAATGTCAAAGGCAGCTTTAAGTTTGCCTCCACCTGTGGAGAAAGAGATGGGGGTTGTACAGTGGTAGCTCGTTTCAGCTCACTGTTTGTTGGTGTGGGCTGGAAGGACCCTCTGCTGGAGCTCTGAGACTGGCTGGGTAAACCCGCCACTGTCAGGGTGATTGGATTGGTCACTGGAAGGTTCCCTCCAGGTCCAACCTACACAAGCCAGAAAACTTTACACATGAGGATAACTCCAGTAAATCCAGACTGTGGTTTGATTGCAATCTGAAGTGATAATTTAAAGAATTTTCCAAAAGGCCATTAAATTTAAAGGCCCATGAATATGTTTGGCAAGATTTTCATCACAAAAAAATATAAAATCAATCTTAAATTTATTTTGGCTGTGGAAGGAAACCACAGTACCTGGAGAAAACCTGTGCATGAAGCGTACAAACTCCACTCACAAGTGACAGGTGGTTAGGTAACCACTTTTATCTGTGAAACGACCGTAGGAAAAAAAACCTACAGTCAAATATATTGTCCATGTTGGGCTGCAAACATTTAAGAACAAGTTATTATCAATTACATATTCTACTAAACCTTTTATTAACAGAACAGGCAGAACAGTCAGCCAGATGTGTATTTTGGCAACGAACAAAATACATTATTTTATGCATTAAAAGTTCATTACAGTGCCTTTATGATGGGTTTGAAACACACTTATATAAAGCTTGTGCAGCCAATAAAACTTGTGGAACTGTGTAAAGCCATGACCACTGTCCCAAGAAATTAAGACTCTTTTAAAGAAAGTACAAGCAATTGTATAAGCGAGTACATAGTAAGGTGGATAATGAGTGTTACATCTACCCAAAATGGCACTTTCTGTTTTGTAGAAGAGACCAAACCACAGGAGTCACCACTATCACTTACCAGTGATGGTAACAGGTCAAAGCTGAGTCTAGGTCAACACAACTTATTGTCTTTCCTTACCTACCTGTGTGAACACCAGGCCAGACTGGCCCACAATCTGGCAGGTCTGAAGAATGGACTGCAGGCCATTGGCAGCAGCTGAGAGCTGGTGGGCAGGTATGACAGTGATGGTCTGAGGCACAGTGTGCACTGTGCCATTAAACTGCTTCCTTCTGGCATCCTCTACTTCCTCGGGTGTCCAGCTGACGCCATGCTTCAGCCGCTGAGCTGAGAACCACACCTGAGAGTATAAGTACATTTTATTACCACTAAGTCCTTGGTATGACAATGGTTTTCCTGATATCAAATCTTCGTGACATGCTTTACCTTAATCTGCTCCTCTGTAAACTGTGTCTGTGTTGCCAAGCTACTGATCTCAGCCAATGAGGGGTAAGGAAACTTTTTATAGGTGCTGCCCAGCAGAGGGTTGGAATCCATAGCTGCATTGTAGGATGGAATGCTGCTGAGAGGAATCAGTAGCTGAGACTGAGCTGCCGCTGCAGTCTGCTGGGCCTGGAAGGCTGAAAGAACCTGCGGAAAGGTCACAGATGAAACATTAGTCCTGCACAATATCAATCATTAATAAACAGTTATAACTACAGACTTCACCAATCTCATCATCCTTGATCAATTCAAAGATTAATATAGTTTTACATTTTAAGGTATTGAAAAGTGCTTTCCAAAAACCAGTGTTAGTTGTTAACATTCTCCTATTCTAATTATATCTGGAAATAAAAGACAGTTTTGCTAATATTGTTAGAATTAAGTTGTGTTTAAGATTGATTTAAGAATTTAAACTGTCCATTCTTAGCATCTCTACCTGGGCCAGACTTGTAGGTAGGACAGTTGGGTTTAAAATGGATGTCTTCCTCTGCTGCTCTGACGATGGGCTGACATGTAAACCACCTCCACCGAGCTTCATTGAGTCATGCAGCAGCATCTCCACAGGATTCATAGGTCCAAGAGGTGCTTCAATGGGCTCCTGCTCACCTCCCACATCCCCTTCACCACCACCACCCCCTCCACCACCGCTACTTCCTCCTCCTCCTCCTAAACTATCTGCTGCCTCTTCAGTGGATTTCAGGGATACAGCAATCCTCTTGGGTTCAGATTTGGTCTTCATTCTCATGATGGGTGTCTTGCTGAGAGAAATAGCGGCAACTGACACGCCTTCTTCTACCACATCAGACTGTTGCTCAGGGTTTGACTGATTGCTGTTTGGATCCTCAGCGAGGTTTAAAGAGCTGCCTTTGACAGAGGGACCGGGTACTTCACTGTCATCTGCTGTAGAAACTGTGGGTTCATCTATAATTACAAAATCAGAATTTTTAACATACTTTATATACAGACCCATAAAGGGATTTTAATTCTAATGTAATGTCTTTATCACCTGTATCTGGAGGTGTGGGAACGACCACTACAGCCTGCTCTAACTCCTCTGCACTTGGTCCTTCCTCTGCTCCTCTCTTCATCTTGCCCTCCTCTCTCTCCACCTCCTCTTCCTTTTTGGTCCTGTCTGTTTTCTCCTCCAGCTCCTCCTGCTCTACCACATTGGAGGGTAGCACCATGCAAGGTGTGGTCGATTTCCGACGGCTTGACATTGTTAAAACAAATCTATTTTTTTCTGTTGAAAGTAAGTAGGATCTACAAAAATGCTGATGCTCACATGTTGTTGGGTGGGTTCATTTTACTTAGGTCATACATTTTTTTCCTGAAAAAAAAAAAACAAACACAAAGAATAAACATGAAAAATTACAATATAAATTACAAAACATCAGTGTTTGCTCTTTTTTTTTTGAAAATCATCTATTTTTCTTAAATGTATTGTTCATTAGATGTGTATTACTTTCTATGGCTGAATGGGAAATACACATTAGAATTCCTCTCACACTTCCATAAAATTTGAAACACATCACAGCAACGAGAGGTATAAGCAACTTAAAAAGAACAAAGCCAAAGCAGCTGCTGCTTATTCCACATGTTCACAGTGAGGTCTGTTGGGTTTTGGGCCAAATCTACTCAAAAAATATTTATCTTGTCTGCAATATTACCAAATAACAAAAATCGCACATTTATTCTCAGCACAATCACAATGGTTGGTCGTTCTGTCAGCAACAACAAAAGGGGGGTTGGATGTTGCCAAAATCACAACAATACCCCAAGTGGCTTTTGAACACAAGCACCTTGTTTCTTTTGGCAATTGTCAAAACAACTTTCAATACTTTAATACAAGGAGTTGTAACAATATCAAATACATTAACTGACATTAATAATTGACGATCTTTCAAACATGAATAGGGGAAAAAATATCATCAAAGCATACAGTTCTATCTGGAACATTAAAATATAGTTATAGTTTATATATATATATATATA